GATTGATTAAATAAGACTGTTTTAAGAAAACTCGTTAGCAAACGTCATAGAAACCTATGTAAATATACTTATAATTATTGCGAGTGAACTCAAATCAAATTTGGGCGCCTTTAAATGGTATTCAAAGTATCGATTTCGATACCACATGAAGTTCGGTCACACTGCGCGCAGAGGCAAAGGTAGTACATATACAAAATTCATTGATTTTGTCAACGTAAAACACACAGCGCATAGCTGCACAGGCAAATCATATAAAGTGAAGATAGTTAAATAAATTAGGCACGCAGCTGGAACAATGCACAAAATGCAAGAGATGCTAGAGAATAACCCACAATTGCTGTAAAGATACACCGAGCAAACGAACACACAGCCAAGAGCAACAAAAAAATTCCAATAAGAAAGAAGTGCAAGAAAAAGAGCATACGGTGTAAAAGGCAAAAGCGAACAAGAAAAAAAAAATTAAACACTATATGTACGCAAAATATAAAATGACAATCGTTGTAGAAGATTAATTATCGTGGCAATTGTGGCGCACCAGCGGCCGGTCGTAAAATGCCAAGGAACACTTGCAGGCCAAGTGAATGTGTAGCTAACGGTAATACTGGCAACAACAACAACAACGGCGATAAGGCTAACGGTAACCATGATGATAGCAACACAACAGCGGGCAGCAGCGCCATTCCCGCCGCTGCAGCCATTGTTAAACAGGAATTCGATGCAGCGCCTCCTGTGTGCCACAGAAAATCGGAGCGTCGAAAAATCGCACGCGACATCTTCCTGGTATTCGAAGAGCAGCCCACGCGTCGTCGGCGCGGTCGAGGCGGTGCACGGGGCACGCGCGCCAAGCAAAAATTTGGTCACCTAAAGGTGGCCAACACACCGCGCATCACTAAGAATCTGTTGCGTGACATTAAAACGGAACCAAAGTGCAGCGCAGCAGCGAATGTGGAACTGTCTGCAGCCAAGCCAATAGAGGCGGTATCAGTACCGGTACCGGTATCGGAGCCGGAGCTGGAGCCACGGCTAGAGTCCGAACCACAGCCACAACTGCAACCGCAGCCACAGCTAGAGCCTGATCAGCCAAGGGCAAAGCTGGCGGCTGTGAAACTGGAAACCAAAACAGCATCAAATGCAACATTAGCAATTTCAACTGCAACTGCAGCAGCAACAGTTGCAGCTGCACCTACAGCAATTGCGTCAGCAACGGCAACAGTTGCTACTGCGCCGGCTGCAATTGCAGCTGCAGCAGCAACGCCTCAGCTCACCCAAAGCCAGAAACTGTCGCCAGCCGCTCAGCAGACAGCAACAACTCCAGCACCAGCTCCAACTCCAGCCCCAGCTCCAGCTGCAGCTCCGACAACGCCCAGCGTGAATCCCATATTTCTGTGGGTCAAGCAGGACGACACGCGCATTGTGGAGGTACGCTGTGAGGATTATGATAAACGCAATCGCATACGCCTGACCAAGACAACGAACGGCTGGCGCTCTATGCCACGCACGGATGCCTCATCCACTCGTATTGTCAAGTTCTTCCACAGCACAGCGGCGGCGCCCTTGCTGAAGGTCAAGCGTGAGCAACTGCAACAGCAACAGTCCATTGAACAGGAGGAGGAAGAGGAGGAGGAGGCGGCTGAACAGCAGCCGGAGTGGACTGTAGTGGATCAGGAACAACAACACCGACAGCAGCTAGAGCAGGAACAGGATCACGACCAGGACCAGGACCAGGAGCAGGAGGATCAGGCTGTCATTGAGAATGTTGTAGTTGTTGTGCCACCCCAGCAGCAGGAACAACAGGAGCAACAGTTGGATCAGCAGCACTCGGAGCAGCACCTGTCCACGGAAGCCTGCTTTGATGCACTGCTCGACAGCGAAACGAATGCCTCGACAAGGGCCACAAAGACCAGCACCAGCAACGCCAATACGCCCACATATCAGAGCTCACGCTCACGTTCCCGCTCCCGCTCTCGATCCCGTTCCCAATCACCAGCTCGATCCCGCACGCCATCGCCTGCGTCGCTGGAGCTGCAGCTGTGTCCCAAGACGGGTCTGTTTCTACCCAAAGGAGCTGCAGGTGCAGCGATTGCAGCAGCAGCCGTTGCAGCTGCTGAGGCGCCACTCGCCGAGGAGGAGGAGGTGGATGCGGCGACGGAACTGGAGACAGCTCCAGCAGATCATGCAACCCTAGAAGCGAATAGCAAACATCTCAAGGATCTGCTCGACGACGCTGATGATCTGCTGCACAACTGCAGCAGCGACAATGGCAGCAATGGAGCCGAGCTGCTTGATTCTTTGGTGCAGCGCGGCTGCGAAGATAATCTCATGGAGCAGCAACAGCTGCAGCTGCAGCAGCAGCAGGGAACAGCCAGTGGAGCTGCCGGCTTAAGTTCCTTCTGTGTGCCGGATGTGGTCGCTGGCAAGGAGCTGCCCAGCATATTGGGCATGGACAGCAGCGATGCACCCAAGTGCCTGTCCTTCAATGAGGCCGGCGAGATCGAGGGACTCAATGGCGAGCTCTTCCTGGGCATCGATAGCTTTGACAAGCAGCCAGAAGCAGAGACGGAGGCAGATGCTGTGGCAACTGTGCTGCCCGACAAGGAGCATGAACAGCTCGAATCCATCACTGTGCCGGATGAGACGCCCAAAGATCTGAGCTACAAGAAACGAGAGGAGGTGTGCCCGCCCTCGGAGTCGCGCAGCCAGTGCGCGGTGACCTCCAGTTCGGATATACTGAAATCGAAATCGCCCGATCCAGAGATGCTGCCCATGCCAGCGACGAGCATACCAGCCGAGGTGGAGACCACCTCGGAGACGATCAAGCATCTGATATTCGAACAGTTTCTCAAGTTGAATGGCAGCGCCCAACAGCAACAGCAGCAACAACAAGCGGAACCTATGGATCTGGGCAAGGCGACGACAACACGGAGCGTGGACAAACTTCATACGGTGGTCATTGATGATGAGGATACGGACGCAGCGGAGCCGCTGAAGAAACGCTCCAAGCCCATCAAAATGGACAAGGATCCGGATGCACTAACTCAGCTGAAGATGCTCCTGAACAATCCCCAGTGGAAGGTGCCCGATCCCATTCTAGTGCCAAAGGATCGTCTGGGCGCGGTGTTGGCATCGCCAGCTCGAGAGATACCGCTGCTGCTGACCACCAGGCCAGAGTTGCGGCTGCCCGAGGCATTTGCCTATCCGGAGATAATACAGAATCCCAATATATTGGTCGTCACCATGGAGCAGCTGGAGGCCATACTCAAAAACGATTCAGAGCAATCCACCAAGTCGTCGAAGTCAGGTGATGCGTTGGCTGTGCCTGCCCATGTGCCCGGCTCTGCCTCCGCTTCCGTCACCCCTGCCTCGCCTTGTTCTCAGCTGCCTTTGCCGTTGCCGTTGCCGCTGCCGCTGCCTCTTCCGCTGCCTCTGCCGCTACCGTTGCAACAGAGCAGCAAAGCAGTTGCTAGTCCCAGTCCTACTCCCAGCTTGCTGAAACATGCTGCTGCAGTTGCTACGAAAACCACGCCACCTCCTACAGCGCCGCCCACGCAGCTGCTTGCCAAGGCGAGCTCCGCTGCAGTGCCTCAATCCTCGCCAGCGGCCGATTCAAGCATGTCGCAGGAGCTGAATGCCACAACGCTCGCGCTGCTGCAGCAGATGCTCTGGCTGCCCTACTTCGGCCAACTATCGCAGGAATTCTTCAAGACCCTCAAGGACCCCCTGGGATTGCAGCGCAAGTTCATGAGCAATCTGCTACCTCTGTACAACAGTCAGCTAGGGCTGCAGCATCTGGATGAACTGTATAAGCATTGCATGAAGCAGAAATCCAACGCCAGCGATCAGGATCAGACGCCAACCAAGCAAACGCCCTCATCGGCTGCCTTCAACGGATTCTCTAATCCCATGGAGTTGGCGTTTATGCATAAGCTGCTCCAGCAGCAACAACAGCAGCAGCAGCAGCAACATCTGCCCAAGGAATCGCAGGAGCTGCATATGGAGCATAAGCGTGCGAGGCGTGATCCTGCGGATGCTGCGCCGCTGCACGTACCCGACTTCAATAAGCAGCAGCCAAAGGCGACGCCTGCTGCGCCTGCTCCAACTGCCACGCCCGCCACGCCTACTGCAACAACGCCTGCCCCGCAGCCGCCCGCAGAGCACAAGCCGCGACTCACCTGCAAGTCGCTATCCAATCTGCTGGAACCGGAAAGCAATATGGTGCCACTGCTGCAAGTGCCCTTCGATGCCCTGCGTCGCAATTCGATGCACAAGCAATCGCCGCTCGAGTTGGCCAAGGAGGCGAATACCGGGCGCACGCTGCGCAGCAGCAAGACCAGCGTCACATATAATCCGCTCGAGCATGCCAAGCAATCCCAGTCGCAGTCGCAACAACAGCAGCAGCATCAGCAACAGTTGCAGCAACAGCAACTTCTGCAGCAGCAGCAGCGCAAACGCGGCAACATGCTGGCCCACGAGGTGCAGCAGCAGCAACATTTGGCAGAGGCTGCGGCCGCAGCTGCAGCGGCAGGTGGCGCCGCCGGACTAGATGCCAATTCGGCGCTGTGGCATCCACTCTTTGGCAGGTAAATACGAATCCCAGTTCAAACTTCAATCATTTTTGAATCGAACTAAATCGATAATTAAATTAATTAAATGTCAATTCCAGTTTCGATATTTTGTATTTGATTGTCAATCGATAATAGAAATACAAACTAGTTCGAAAATTCAAATTTTTCGAAGATCAAAAGATAGGTGAAGAAACTTTTAAAAATAATTCGTTTGACCATTCGAAAAGAGTGTGAAAGCAATTAAGTCGAATTGTCAAGATATCTCACGGAGACTATATCTATTTTCACAATATCTTCGATCGCTAATAAAATATGCTTTTATTCTCGAACAGCAATCCAAAGCAGGGCTACACCAGCCCTTGGCAATGGACGACGGTGACGGCAACTGGCGAATGACAGTCAAGCCGGGCTCATAAGGAGCCAGCAGCGGCGGCAAATATGGCCAGCAATAACCACAACAATAACAATAGCAGCAGCAACAGCAACAGCTACGAGGAGCAACAGCTGGATTACAACAGCAATGGTTGCAATTACCATGCACCAACGGCGACAGCAGCAGCTGCAGCAGCGAAGCAACAGGGATTGACAGCAACAGCAGCAAACAATCAAAATAATCACAATAATAGCAACAAATATAGTTATCCAACGGCAGCAGCTGCTGCCATGGAGAACATGTTCCAAGGCAATCATCAGCTGATAAATTCTTATCTGTATCAGAAGAATGATGCGGCTGCTACAGTGGCTGGAGATGCTGGCTACATGGCAGAGCAAAGCTATTGGCAACAGCAACAGCAGCATCAGCAACACCACCAACACCAATCACAACAGCAGCAGCAACATCAACATCAACATCAACAGCAACAGCAACAGCAGCAGCAGCACAAGCAACAACAACAACAGCAACATTGGAACAATCACAATAGCAACAGCAGCAGCAGTAGCAACAACAATAACAGCAGCAGCAACAACAACAACAATCAGCGCAGCAGCAACAACTACGCGAATAACTATGCCGCAGCAGCTGCTGCCTCCATGTACATGCAACATTTCAATCCGTACATGCAACAGAAGGCCGCACTGCTCGCCGAAAAGGCAGCACAGGCGGCAGCCGCGGCAGCAGCAGCTGCTGCAGTGCACGGCAACAGCAGCAGCAACAAACATGGGCGGTACTCGGGCGATTATGGTTAGGCCGACTGGAGCGAATCGAGGGCAACATTTAACCCAAAGTAAACACTTGCATATTAACATAAATCATATAGAAATAACTGCATAAATAATGATAACTGTACTTGGAAAGTAGAGGCGGAACGTATAGGCCATTTTAACGCAAGGAATTGCTAAGGAATACAAAAATCCTTAAATTAACATATAAAATATTAAAAATAAAACACAGCAACAAGGTAAACAAGGCAAGCAACAATAATTAAAACAAAAAAGCAAGGAAAACAAAAAAAAACAAAAAAAAAATTAGTAAAAATTTGTTATTGGTAGTTTGTTAAAAAAAATAAGAAAAAAACTAAAAAGGAAAAAATATAAACAAAATATTGTAGATGAGACAAGTAAGAAGCAGAGGCAAATGAAAACAGCATCAAGAAAAGTAAACCTAATTATTGTATTATTGTTAACCCAAGCTGCGTTATATTATTATTATTATCATTATGATTATGATTATGATTATTATTATTATTAACTCAAGTGTGTGTGTATATAGCGTTTTTATCTAGATGTATTACACTTATTAAGCCCCCTAAAGCCCTCAACCACGCCCCTAAACCCAAACCTTTCCCAACTCTTTGAACCCTTTACAACGCAGCGCTAAAAGGCAAAGAAAAACAATTTTTATATTCATTCCGCATGAGCAAAGCTAACAACAAAAAAGAATGTTTTCCCTTCCCTATATTATTATTATTATTATCATTATCATTATTATGATTATCATTATTATTATTATGCTTATTATTTATATATCAAAGTGAATCCTTTAAAAAACAAAAATTGTGCAATCTTCTTACATATAAAAATATATGTTTACGTTTATGTTTTTTTTTTATCAACAAACAAAAATGAAAATCACAAAAGATTTATAAAAACAAAACAACACGAGAAATGGCAAAAGCAAAAACATGAAAAATAAAGTGGAAAAAAACCTTTTAGAGAATTTCGCTGATAAAGGCAACAGAATAGCAAAAAATAAACATTTGACTTTTTCTTAATGGTGTATTGGGCGGTGTCCAATTTATGGAATATATTAAATTATTGGATATTTTTTGTTTACGTTTAGAAATATTTGACGGCTTCAGGCCATAAATTTCGAACTCTAGCCTGAATTTGAATACGGTCAAAAAAGGTTATATATGAATAGTTACCAGGTCTGGTCGAGAAGTCTAACCAATTTGGTGTCTTTATTTATACTTGAATACTCTGCAAAATATGCTCCATCCAGATGTCGTGGGGAACGAGCAGCCAGGTCCTTATTCCTGTGCTCCTATTGGATACAGATTCGTTGCAGAGTTTATGGGGATGGGTAAAAATCGAAGAAGAAGACTCAAATCTCTAGCTCAAAATCCATAGCATAACGCTATAAATAAACCGAAGAATTATTATACGTAACCCTTGAAAATTCAAGACAAAAATATTTTCAAAAAAAAAAAGTTACATAAAACATAAAAACACGCTTTTTATAAATGACTCAGCTGCTATGGATAAACTGGTTTTAGATTTAGAGTAAAGTGGGAAAAAGCGGAGAAGTTTGATGAATAATTAATATCGCAATTATTAATGTTATTAATGATTCATTTTGTATATATAATAAAATAATATATAATTATATACACAGTTGATTGAGTTATTAATCGGACACTACGATTTTAATACAGAAATCGATCAATCATTTATATATACATTTATAGAGTTCGAGCTTAGTTTAAGGATTAGATATGGGGGACACAACTCAAAAATGACATTGCTTTATATGTTTATAAATATATATATGTATATGTTTATATTTTTAATTTCGGTGTATAGATATATGTATATAAATGTTAAATTTTCCTTTCTCTTTGTATAAATACGCAACTTTTCACTTACAAACAAGATTACTGATTAGGTTGTATAGTTTAATTAAAAAGAATTTTTAGTTTTCTGTTTCCATTATAGTTTTACGGTTTGTGTAAAGCATTTGAAATGCGCGCGTGCGAATGTTGTTTTCAGCTTATTTAGTGTACGTGTTTGCTTGTGCTCCCAGCCGACTGAACGTGATATCGTGGTATGATATATTTATATAAATTTATATAGTATATCCAGATCCGAGAATTCGATTGCCTATTCAATTTGGCGATGCGCCTCCTGTAGTCGCGCCACAACGGCCTGATAGAACTTAATTTGCTCGGCAATGAATGCTCGAATCGTTTGCTTCAGATGCGTATCTCGCTCGGACTTGAAGTGGGTCAGCTCAGCTAGCACCGTATAGGAGATGACATCTGTGCGCCGATTCACATCCTGCAGTTGGGCATTGCTCATCTTGCCCTCGGCCGTCGAACGTTCACAATCCTTGCGCTTCTGTATGGCGCCCTTGTGCGTCGAGAATATATCCGGAAAGCAGTTCAAGACACCTCTGAAAAAGAAAACAAAGCGATTAATTGGGTTACACAGGCATTAGCGTTATCTAACCCTTCACTCACCTGTAGATATGCAGCCGATCGGAAAGCGGGATCCAATCCTGCTTCGGCTGATCACCAAACAGTTGACCAATGCCAATGTAAATGCCTCCAATGCGGCCCACACTCTCCGACAGAGGCACGCCGTTCCGGGTGGGTGCGCGCCTCTCGTCGATGCTCAGCGACTTGGCCAGATCTGAGAGACCGTCGCCGATGCGTTGGAATTCCTTTTTGCTTTGGGTTAGCGAACGTTTGGCCATATCGTTGGCAATGTTATTCAGATTGCGTATGGCCATATCCATGCTGTGTATAAACTGTGACCCGCTCTCCATTTGGGCATCCACCTTCGAGTGCAGCAGATTCTTGTCTGGCGGCGAGATGGCCAAACAGTAGTTGACGCCCATATACGGATCACGTTCGGCTTTCCGTTTGCCCGACTTCCAGATCTTTTCGTCGGTGCAGGTCAAGAAATGGTACCACACTTCACATTTCGATATGACTGGATGCCGGCAGACCCAATCCACAAACTCCTGCAGCTGTACACGCCGATGCTCCACGAACTGCTCCTCATACCGGCCAGAGATCTGTTTGTCCGGCAACGGGGGCACAGGTATCAAACAGAATTTATCCACCAATCGTTCATGCAGCCAATCGAAGTGCTTGTAGCGACGTGATACCTGAATTGTATTCCATGTTAGATTAGATACAACAATTCAATTACGAAATTGTGACACAGCTCTTGAGCACTGAGTCATAGGGTGTGTGTGTGTTTGGGTGTGTGTGTGTGTGTAAAGTAGCAGTAAAAGAGCAACAACAAACAAATAAACGCACACAAGCAGAGAGTGGGCAATCAGTTGGTCAGCTGCCCCCGATGCTTGCCCCCAATTGAACTCGTAACTTCAACTGCAACTTGCAACATTATAAATAAACACTAAGCTACAAAATATGGCACGAACTGTGGGAAGCAAATTTATAGCGACTGCCTTAGTAACCCTTAATCAACTAGCCTGCTCGTATAACAAGTTAGTTTTAAATAAAATAAATTTAATTCTTGCATTCAAGATTCATATTTTTTCAATAGCAATCAGTTTCCCAACTGAGGTCATGCCTCTAAAACAAATAAGAATGTGTTTCGTTTAGTTAAAATTTCGTTAAGTTTCCAATTGGAGTTTGGTAAGAAAAGCAACTTGTTGCACAATAACAAGTTTCTTGCACAATAACATTGCTATAACATTTCAGCTGTTGCTCAGTAAAATATATAAATTTATATATCAAACAAATTTATATACAAACACTCTGACCAACAGCATTATATTAAGAAAAACTTATAAAAAAGAAAATCTTCGTCACACTTCTCATTGGAAAAAATAAACGAAAGATCTGCAACTTATTGGTTTGTGTTATCAGTAGCTACACACACATACAAATGCACATGCAAATACAAATACATAAACACACTTCAGGCTCACTGTATTAAATTGTGATTCGTTTAACTTTTATAAAAATTGTAAATTCAGTTATACTCACGGAGATATTATTAAAGCTTGGTGTCAGCTGGTAGGCAATGAACGTTTTCATGCCCTTGAATTTTGACTCCTTTTTGGGACTAGCCACAACAACGGAATAAGGCGAATGATTTTGTGTCCATTGGTAGATGGAATCCTCTAATTGTGTTATGTACGCCATCTCGCATTCTGGTATTTTCTCCTTGTTGCTAGACAGGCCGAGTATATAGGAATCGGAACTTTTGGCAAACATGCCCTTTTTAATCGTGCCAGCACTCGCACCTGCCGCTGCGGAGCCAAGCGAGATGCCATCTTCGTTAGGAGCAACAGGTAGATGCCTGTTGTCGTAGTCGCTGGCAGAATGCGTCAGTCCGCTGCTACGTGCGACTCCGCCCATCTTGCCACCTGGTGGCGCTATCTCTGAATATGTTTCATTGTCCTCGCTATCTGTCCAAATACTATCGTTGTCGTCATCGGCTGTTTGGTCGTATCTCGGCGCTGGTGGCGGCATATCGAAGGGATCGAAGGGCTGACCACTGGCAGCGGCTGTAGAGCTTGTATCCCCGCCGCTGGTAAACTGGCGCGCTTCAGCAGCGGACATCACTTCCACGTAAGCCGCTGGAAAGAGCCCAATTTGGCCTCGACTGTTTTTTCCCTCCCACCAACCTTCGCCAACATCGCTCCTGGTCACAGTTAGAATGTCGCCGGTGGATATGGATAGTTCTGATGATCCGGGCTCACCAGAAAAATCGTACATAGCACGTACGTAAGATGTCATTTTTGGTTATTGCACGATATTAACGCGTTTCTTTTTTATCTAAATCCGCTCCCATAAAGCAATTGAAAAAGCCAGTGTCTGAGTCAGTGTGTGTGAATGACTAGTGTGACCGTCGACTGTGTTACAAAAGTAGATACGCAATCGTTAATCGATAGATATCGCAGTCGTTGCAAGTACAACTCTGTGCTCTTACTACAAAAAAAATCTGTTCGTGATTTGTTCGATTGGATTTTTATTAATCATTCGTTGATTGCGCTTTGCCGATTTTGTTGGTAAGTAAAATGCCGAGTAATATTCATAATAAGGCATATGCAATTATATTTTCACCGATTTGAGTATACATATAAAGAATCTTGCCATACTTTAGATTGTCTTTGCTTATTTTGGTTTTTCACCGACTTTTTTTTTGACAGCGAAAGATTGACTAATACGTCAAAAGAAACCCCACAGTTCTATTCAAAAACTGCGAAAAAGTAAACAAGCTATTTACGAATAAAACGTAATAATGCAGCTGCAAGCCAAATATTTGCTATTGTGCCTGTTTGTTGGACTGTTTGGTTCATATCGTTGTCTGGCAGCAGACGGAGAAGAAGGTAAGCGATTTCCACAGCGAATTTTATTCAACTACGTATGTGTTTGTGTGAGTGTGTGTTTGCGCTAGTGCCTGCATTGAACAACAAATTTATAAATGCATATGTATATGTAAGAGTGTATTGGAATTTTAAATGCCACACTCGTCTACATGTATGTATACATTTGTGTGCAATCATATTCGTGTGAGTGTATCGGTTCCTACATACATATGTATTTTTGTGCGGAACGTAATTGAAGAAGATTTCAACATAAAGAACTTTCTATTAAGCCAAGCTGAATCACTTTAAAACTGATTCGCATGCGTGTGTTTGTATGTTTTTTTCTCTCTTGTTTTTAGCAAAGGAAACGACTGTCACTACCGAGGCGGCAACCACTGTAACAGTACCGGTGCCAGATGACAAAAATATAACTACAACTCCAATTCCGACTACATCCACAACCCCGTCAACAACCACGGTGCAACCGACTACAACACCTCCAACACCTTCAACTACTCCAATAACTTCAACAACCACCACCAAACCAACAACATCAACTCCAGCTCCAATCACTACAAGCAGCACCACCACAACAGTAGCTCCAAATACAACAACTACCACAGTTGGCCCCACCACATCGAGCACCACCACACCGGTGCCTTCGACAACTACCACGGCCAAGCCAGCGCCTGTGCCATGTGGACACTTTGATGGCTCGTCATTCATTGGAGGCATAGTTCTAACTCTGGGTCTGCTGGCCATTGGATTGGTCGCCTACAAGTTCTACAAGGCACGCAATGAGCGCAATTACCACACTCTTTGAGCCGCCAACGCGTTCACTTCGGCGTTCAATGCAGCAGCCGGTGCAACGGCTGTGAACAATGCCGCCACGGATGCCGAACGTGTGCGCTTTGTACAGCCATCGATTCCGTTGCGTTCACCACCCGCTCAACCGCCACCACCACCACCAACCACAGCAGCAGCACACACAGCGCCCTATCACCAACAGCTCTTGGCGAGCGCAGCAAATCAAAACTCAAATAATTCACCTTCAGCCAGAGATCGGCTGCTGCACACGTAATTTAACTCGGGGTACAAATGTAATACATAACAAAAAAGAACAACAAAACAAACAAAAAAAAAAAAAAAACAAAAAAAAAAAATGAAATATAACTATCCAAAGAGCCCCCGGATATAATCTCTATGAAAAACGCGAAATTTTCAAAAATATCCTACAGCTATCTCTCAAAGAAAAAAAAAAACACAGATTTGTCCGTTTCGAAACAGGCTGCACACTCAATCCTTATCAATTATATATATACCTATCTATATATCTCTCTCCATATACATATATATGTGAATATATTTAATATAATATACATTTCGTATGATTCACGATTTTTGCTGCAGTTTTTTATCAGCGGATGTTCAACGCCTTATTGAATCTGAATGCCCTTCAGCTTAAAAAGAAACAAACAAAAACAATTATAATGTACTATATTATATAAATATATTCATATGCATATATATGTCTCTATGTATATGAATATTTATGTACTACAATAACAGCAAAATTAATGTGAAGACTGTCGAAGAAATGTCGCTGTAGATGAAGCAAACGTTAAGTAATCTAAAAAAGAAAGAAAAAGGGAATGAAGCAAGCGCGTATATAGATTTTGATTGAAAATATATATTTACAAGAACAAAAACAAATATGGTAAAAGAAAAACTAACATTTTATATAGCTAAAAAAAACAAACTCATTCAACGTAAAAACTAACTAAGCGAGCTAAACTTAAAATCAACTCTAAATATCTGTTTTGCATTATACTACAACGCTTTTGCATTTTTGAATATATAAATTTATAATTAATGATGATTACTTTTCCCAACATTCAGGAACTTTATCAATATATATATATATATTTGCATAAATATTAATGTACGTGTCAAAGTTGAGAAGAAAAAATCAATAGGTGCACAAGCATTGATATAGAGTATATACATATATATGAATATGTATGAATGAACGGATGTTTCTTTTTGCCTCTGGGAGTTTTCCCGTTTTCAATTACGGATATCAGATATCATTTGGCATTAAATAATAACATTTACTGTGAGTTTTACATATATCTTATATACATATATAAATATATATGCGAATGTTGAGTATTTTGTATTTGATAACACTGAACAACACATATGAATTATCTAACTCCCACACATTTACACACATCTATTGTTGGAATTACATACAAAACTGGCGACCCCATAAATCCCTCCCTGTGCAGAAATTAATCTCATAAATATATATACTATATATGTATATATATATAGGCTTAGTAAACAAACTTATGTATATCCAGTAAAACTCGAAACTCGGCTTATTAAATGAATATAAAAAGAAATACCTAATGCTACATATGTATGTATTGTATATCGTGTACGATAATAAATATTTTAAAATTTAATTGTGCTTTTATTCAGATATATCCACATCCATATACTACTATTTTTGTATTAAACGGTGACATGGTTTGTGTTTTTGTTTATTTTGAATTTTATAAAAGATTAGTTACATAGTACATATAGTTTTTATAGTTAAATAGTTGCTAACTATTTATCCGCCTTTATAGTTCGTTTCGCTTTCTTCTGCTTTGCTATTTGCGGTGATTCCCCATTATTTGCCTTGCGTTTTAGAATTTTTCCCGTTCGCTTCTTCTGCTGCTGCGTATGGAATCGCAAATTCAGTTTGGTGCCTCCTATGCTCAGCTCCCTCTTGACGGCATTGCGAGCATCCATAGTCGTGGGGAGCGTGACTGTTGCAGCGCTCGAGTCGCGGTATTTGCCCTTGCCTGGTTTGATTTGTATATCGACGGCAGTCTCGAACAGATTGCGCACCTGTGCCACTGACGTCGTTTTGGGCAGATTGGTGATCACCACGGATGATGTGAAGATTTCCTTGCGCTGCACCTGTTTGCTTGCTCGCTTCAACAGGTTCTTTGATTTCTTCTTTTCCAGAGACTGTTGCTTGCGTGCTACCAGCTCGTTCACAAACTCTTCGGAATCGGTTTTGGGTAGCGAAATGAAGATACCCTTGTAGGCAGCATCACTTTCAATTGATACTTTAATTTCCGCCAGCGCTTTATCGCGATCTTTTTTGGATTTGAATTCCACGAGGCAAAACCGTGCGTGCTTTTGCCGTGGCTTCGCAGCCTTTGTTATTAACGGATGCAAAGATTTTACCTTCGCATCAAATTCCTGGCTATCAAGTGGAAGCTTGTGTGGGAAGCGTACATATAGTCGTGTTCCTTTCAGCTGTTCGTATTTACTGTGTATTTGTTCCTCAATCAATTCGGCTTTTGTTTTCTTCCTCGACGTGGTTTCATCTTCATCCACATTATCCTCGTCAGATTCTGTTGCGCTGCCCGCTAAATCCAATTCGTCTTCATTTTCTGAATCGTCGGCAACACTTTCTTCCTCATCTGATGATGTTTCCTCTAGTTTTTTCTTCATATTTAATTAAATAAATGTTGTTTATACCGCTGGACTCGCACGTGCTAGAGTCAGAGTTGTCATCTATTGTCAATAGAGCCGACAAAATTATCAAAAGTCAGCTGTTGCACATACTAGTTCAAATATGCAGAAGTTCAAGTATATCGATATATTCGATAAATCGTGCAGGTGCGTCTGCCTTAGATAACTCTGTGTGACTATCTGTTTTTTTGGAAAAACATTAAACGAAATTTAGAATGGCATTGCTAGGAAATATTAGGGATTGGTTCACATCTGAAACATCAAGAAACAAAAATGCTGCGCTGGTCGCAGGTTTGCTGGTATGGGCAGATCAAGTGTAAGAATTAATGCGCATTGCCTAACTATTGTCTGCTTTTCCTTTAGTTCTTCACAGGCTGGTGGATAATAATCGATGCCATGGCTGGAGATGGACAGCATCAAATAACAACAGGACATGTATTTATCGGCATATTTGGCACAATTAGCTTTTGCATGATCAATACGGTCAAAGGCGAACATGTAAGATAACAGCCTTACATATTCACACATAGTGTATACATATACATATGAATATGAATCTTGTATACAAAGAAAATGAGTCATTTACTGTTGTTTGCTTTTAGATTTCAGAAGATAACACCTCAGAGTCGGGCGCAAGGATCGCCAAGATATGGCTTCTTATTGGCTTTGTCATTGGATTTGCGTCTATTATCGCGGCCGTTTGGGTAATGGTCGATGACTTCATAAACAATGGTAAGCCAAAGCAAAAAAAAAAAAAAACAAGTAAAGACAAAATTATACGTTATCTTTATAGATAAAAAGGACACAAGTCTGGGCGTCGCGTTACTTTTGCAAAATGTTTTCATTCTGTTTGGCAGCATCGTATATAAGTTTGGACGCAACGAGGAGGATTGGAACGAATAAATTATCAATGCATATATACTCAGATCTGTGACTGGGGATGCTTTTAGAAATAACATATATACATACTTATATATATTAATATACATAATTGTATTTCATTTAGAGTAAAACAAATCTCATAAATTTATTAAACGACGAGTCACTCGCACACTTTCAAGTGTTGTTTATTGCAGGCACAAAGCAGGACGATGGCAACGAGGGAGAGGCTAAGCCAAAGCCTTTCGCTGCATTGAGCATATCTATAAATATAATAAATTGTACAGTTGACAGAACTCTCGCTAAAGATATACAAGTATATATAAGACTATGGGTCATACGCATCAACGGGACATTCGTTCTCGTTCTGCAGGCACCATTGCGGCTGCAATGCCTCCGCTCCGATACCATTCTCGACCAGCCGCTCGCGATGCAGGAGCAAACGCGACTCGGCCTGTCGCCAACCTTCAGTTGGATTCGACCAAAGACGTTCGGCCAAGGCACTGGCTCGTGGCCAGAAGCGATTATCCAAGGTATACTCATCGATTTGCTCTGACCAAACGGCAGCCTCGGCGCCCAGCACATGATGTTTATAATCGCCCGCAATTTGAGCTAAATCATTCTGATAGACCTTCTGCCAGCCAATATAGGGCGAACACCAATTGTTCCCGTCATTCACCCAGCCACCGCCGCCGCAATCGAAATACAAAGCATCGTAGTTGGACGCAATGATGCGATAGCCACGCTTCAATATCTTCTTGATCACTCTGTCATTGCCCTTAGTCCAGATTTGTATGATATAACGGGCTGGATCCAGATATTGATCGATGTAGCGCTCATCGGTGAGTGTGCTGGTCCACAGGATAATGGGAGTATGCGACCCATTGGCCACACGATCCACACGACTGAGAGCTTCCATTTGATAGTGGCCCCACAGGCGCATGAAATCTTCCTCCTTCAAATTCCAGCCACGCTCCAGCATCCAGTTGCGTATGCTTGCACTGCTGTTCCAGCAAGCAACGGATACTTCATCGCCGCCCATATGAAAGACATCAGGATTGTAAAGCTTAAACATATCACTGAATATGTCTTCCAACACATTGTACATGTCATCCACAGTGGGGTCCAGCTGGCCGCATGGAGGTTCCACACAATAATCATTCCAAGGCTGTGCATTGAAGCAAGCCGTCATGTTCTTGTGCTGCCAGCCCTCGCCCACATGCGCCGGACTGTCGTACTCTGGCATTACACGTATACCTCGAACTCGTCCATACTCCACCTGTATGGCAGAAGAAAACATCCAGCTAAAGGTCTGATTTGAGTACAAGATATATATAACTCACTATATCCTCTACATCGCTGTGAGTGTACACTTTGCTTGGTGAATAGGCGCCTAGTTTGGAGAGCTCTGGTCGCTTGCTGATTTCCAGTGGAAAGCTATGCGAGTCCGTGATGTGCCAGTGGAAGGTGTTCAGCTTGACCATGGCCATGCCATCTGCAAAGTGGCATAAATGGAAAAGATGTTGAATGGGGACTCCAGGTGGAACCGTTGAAGACGCCTACCTAATGTTCGCTTGATGGCTTTTACAGAGTAGTAGTTCCTCGAGGTATCCAGCAAAAGTCCACGCCACTTGTAGAAAGGTGCATCCGCAATAGAGGCATTGGCCACCACTTGCACCTCCCGGCGGATATCGTCATAGACAATCAACTGGCTCAAAGTCTCCAAGCCATGACGTGCTCCAAAAAAGCTGTTAGCTGTAATATTGGCCGTCACTTGGCCAGCGCTATTCGATCCTATGCTCAGTGCATAGCTCTCGTCCGTGTTCAGCTGGAGACGCATTGGTGCCCCTGCGTCCGCAGTATTGACAATAATATTTAATTGGTAGCCGCCTTTCTTGAGGATCTTGCGATTTGGTACCTTCGCCTCCAACAGGTCTAGCCAACGCTGTTCCGTTGACTTCCACAGTTTATCTTTTGTACCTGGCATCTGGAATTCAATGTTGGCTACGTCCACCTGTCGCATCAGCGGCTCCAGTTGCACCACGCCCGTTGGCTTGGGCCAGAGAGTGCCAATGTCGCTGCCACAGAACAGCCGGCAAACTGGCAAACTAATAGCCGAAGCAAAATTTTCCTCACTCAGCTCGACCTTTCGACATAGTCCCTTGCTACACTCGTAGCCGTATATCAAATCGCTACGATTTAATATAAAATATAAAATTAGTTAATTATATATGTATACCATGTATAATTACTGATTTAACTGATTTAACTTACTCAGCTCCCAGAGCATCGCCCAGACCTGGCGTCCAGCCAAAGGCCAGCAGCGCTACCATTGCCAACGCCGCACAACGCATTTTTGCACACTAAAACGCGCAGCGAATACTCAAATAGATTTTCAAGAAATTAAAAAAGAAAAACCTCAAAACGGGTTTCTAGATTCCCGTTTTGTAGCGCAACGGCAATGTCTTCGTCTTCTTTACGTGCTACTTACAACCTGCTTGGGGGTCGCTTCGGCATCGACTGACGCATTTGTTTTGTTACGCGGCCAATTTATCGATTGCAACCACAAGCAAAGGCCAGCACACACACATACACATATGCAAATGTACACAAATATACTGTTATGTGATTACACGGTTCTGCTTTTAACTATGGTTCTTGTTCGACAAGTTATATTTTTAAATGCAAAACCTAGGGCAGATAACTAACATTCATAAATCTAAATGAAAGGTTTTTAACACTTTGATATACCACTTGAAATGATTTGACATAAGCTTTCAGTACATGCGTATAAATTAATTATTATATTTTGAGATACTTCTACTTATTTTATAAATGTTTTCGACTGTTTTTTTCTTTAGTTTTATTCCTTATTAAGAATAGGTTTTGAACTCATTATCTACTGTCTTAACTAAATAGATCGAAACTGTTATCTATTATGTGGGATTCGCACCCTTTTGGGTTAGGGTATTGTCTTCGTAGGTTTCCAAAACATCAGCCAAATGCTCATTGTCTCTGGGCTTCTTGAACTGGCGCTTTTTGTTGGCTGCCTTCTTGCGTTTCGGCACAGGCTTCTTCAGCCCATGATCTTGCATCGAGCGTATGCCTGCAATACAATGAATCAGTTATTTGTTCAATAAAGTAAAATCAGAGTTTTCACCTTGTTTCTCAAGGTATTCATCAATTTTTGCGTCATCCATGGCATCAACTGTTGCAGAGCGCCAAAGCTTTTGAAATTCCTCATCCACCTAAACGATAAATACAAATAGTTGATGATTTTAAGGCAAAATGTGCTTATTACTCACCGAAAAATTTGCAGTTCTATCATTGTAAAATAATATCTTTTTCTTGTCTATGGGACGTATAATGAACAGAATTTCTGCCGCTCGGTTTTTCAAAACTTTTTCACAATGCGGCAAGGATTCCTGCACATCTTCAAGCAATATCCCTCCGAGGCCTTTAAGATCGTGTTGCTTTAGCAGTCGCATCAGACTTTTGCCATCTTTGATCTTATATACTGGTTTGAAGCTGAACTTGGTTCCATCGGGTGTGACCTCAATTTTTGGATTATTATTGAGCGCTTCCCCGGCGAGCCACTGTAAGGTATAATAAAGAATAATACAGTGAATCATGAACAATTATTAACTTACATTTTTCACAGATTGACCAATGTCCAGCTGATTGGTCTCATCTAATATTTCATCTATGGTTAGTGGATGATCATCGCCATCCTGATGGCGGGTGCGCATAAATTTTACTATTTTGGCCAACACACCGAAACGATATTGAGAGCTTCCTGACATCGTTTTGTATCTACGAGAAATAACTTTAATTTAAAGATCCCTGATTGCAATTTGCAACTAATTGCTTCTTACGTGGATGCATCCAGTTTTGGAGCCGTCGGCGGCCGCATTTTCTTTTGGGAATCATCTCTACTTGGAGGCGGAGGAGCTCTTTCCGTTCTGTTTTTCTTCTCCACGCTGTGAATGCAAACAAATTATTAACAACTTTGAATATGTGCCGATTGATGCACTTACGTCGGTGTGGCCATCGCTCGTTTTTTGAACGCTTCGCGTTCGCGAAGTAGCGCTGGATCCATCTTTGATTATTTATATTTTCTAGCTCACGTTTAAGAACAATATTTTTGAGACAATTTACAACTCTCAAACAATAGTAAATGAGGTAAAGCACACAGCGTCTTGTGAACAGCTGTTGACTGACATTTCAGGGCTTCTCAATTAAATATATCGGAGAAATCGGTCTGTATTGTATCGATACTTTCCGTTGCTTCAGTGGCAGACCTCGAGAGCATCGTTTTCAAAAACATAACGGACGAGAAATTCATTGATCGATAATGCGTATTGGATCTTGAAATAAATTTGTATTTTGATTATAATTACTCATATTTCAATTCGATTGCTATGCAAAAGTATAAAATTCATGACCAATAAATTTTCTTTATATGAATCTTGAATCAAGTTTCACATTGTTTACTACTCGTTAAACCAGTGTGCAAGTGTAGTGATCATCAAAATGTACCGGATCATTTTATCGGATAACCGGATAACTTAAAATATTTGAATAAAAAAGCCACCAATGTATTTGGTAATTTCGTTTATTAATATCGCTTTAAAGGCATTACATAAAGTATTTATAATTTTATTAGGTCATAATTGAATTGAATTTCTATTCGAGAATCTACAATCCGTAAGTTCTCCGTATATATGTATAAGTAGTATATATATATATTCGTATCTTTGTCGTAATACGTTAGTAAATTGTACAAAGAGTTCGTTTATGTATATAGTTTCTTGGTTTTGAGTAACGGTAATGCGATTGATACGATAGTCCCGTTAGTGGTTCATAAACAATCATTGCGGTTTCGTTGACTCCGTTTATGTCTGGTCTATATAAATATGATTTACATACATATTTATTATATGGGTCCTCAGTACTACATCGCATTTGGAACAGGTCAATAATTGTACGGTTGTTTGGTTGGTTGTTGGTAATTCTTGTTTCCGTATTCCGTGTCTGTTTCGCTCTGTGTGGTTTTGTATCTGGTATTGGTTGATTCCGTAGTGTTTTTATTTTTTTTGGCGGTTCTTGCGTCAGTTGAACTGTTTATAATTGAACTGTTATTCTTGTGTTTTCTTTTATTTTTGTTTTGTAAACTACTCGTACATAATGTTCTCTGTTAAGTACAAATGTTGTCAGTGGGTCTGTGGAAATAGAAAGATAAAAATTGTTTTGCTTATTATGTACGTTCGATCGGTCAAATCGCTGAATGTGTGTAGAGTTTAAGTTAAGTACAGATCGGTAGTAACTAATTGTAATAAAGACGGAGAGCAGTCTGAACAAATATGCGAGTCTTTTAGTTTGAGTTTCGTATGCAGCAAAAGCAGTTAGTTTTTTTTTTAATGTTGTATTACAAGCTAAAAACTTACCTCATCACCCGTTGATGAATTCCGAACTATGGCTACATTAATTTATATAGGATACGAAGAATCAATTCTGTTCAAGATTTACTTACTTAATTGCGACGCAACCGCTTTCTGCCGCTATCATCACCATCTGAACCGCTTCGCTCCTCCGCTTCCATGACCTTGATTTTCGTTCCACAAATTTCAGCTCCATTTAGCACGCCTATTGCTTTTTGCGCACTGTCACGTTCCGAGTATTTAACATATCCACAATTCTTGTTGGGCAACAAATATACATCGATCAATCCCTTCCAGCAGGAGAAGATGTTCTTTAATATCGAGTGTGGTAGATTCTAAAATTGTCAAATATATATAATAAATATAAGAGGAGGAAAACAACTTAAACATACTACATACCGCTGACAGAACAATGAATAGTCGCTGCGCAACTTGTGCATCTGGCGATGCCAGTGGCTGTGTTGGCGGCAATGGTACGTTGCATATCGCATCCTTCTTAGTCCGCTCTGAAATGACAAGAGGTTAATAAAAATAACCAAAAATTTTCGCCACCATTTCTTACTGTCAATGAAAGAAGTGTCCATGCGAGCAGAACTCATGCCGTTGACCTTAACAATTATGCGCTCGCCCATGGGATACTCCAGCCCATGCAATTTATCCCTATAGAAATAAAATTATGATTAAGTAAATGTCTATAGGAATACCTTAGTAAAATGTTATGTACTTGGCATATATTGCTGCTTCAGGGTTATCGTATACGACTACAGCTTCATTTGTGCGTGGACCATCTAAAAATCAATTCATATTAATACATGATTATATTAAATTTACATTCATTCCAACTTACGCTCGCGCATAATTTGACAGTAATCCAACCCAGGTATTATATCAAAGAGACGCCACAGCTGATCTTGATTTACACAATTACTGACAGTAACTTCCAAACACGTGGGTTGAGGCACAGGCACATTTTGCATTCGTAGAAATGCGGACATGTCGCTGTTGACCGATGCATTCCAATCGTTGTTGAAGCTACCAGCACTACCGCCGCCGGCACTACCACCATTATAATTCGAGCCACCACCGCCACCCCCACGCCCCGATGGATACACTGGACTATCATCAGCAAGGCGACCATATTGATCCCGCTGTGTACGTGTGGAGCCCTTGGGTTCGGCAAAGACGGCCTTATATTTCGATGAGCAGTTTTCAAATGCCACAGCTGCATAGTAGAATCTATAAAAAGTATATATAATCATAGATTATTTAAATATAGGAATGTGAATTTATGCTAGACAGGACAGCGCCCGCCTCTATTAGTGGATACTTACTTTGTGAAGCGCACGTATCCGAAACCCTTGGGATTACCATTATTCTTTTCCCGTACAATTGTGACGTTTTCCACCTCACCCCACTGAGAAAATTCATCCCGTATGTCGTCCTCGGTGGCGGTTTTTGGAATAACAATAAACAATCGCACATACTTTTCCTGTTCGTTTTCCGATTTATTCGAACCCTGATTACGACTGCAAAAAATTATGATGACAAAGTTATAAATTTATGCTGACCTCAGCAACAGAAAAAAAATTTATGCCAGGTCACTTACTTTGCGGCAACCAGCACTTTGAGGGTTCTGTCCGTTTTTCCAATAGTTTTGCCATTCATCTGCTCTTGGGCCTTGGCTGCATCGGAGGTTTTTGAAAATTTCACATATGCAATACCCTTGTTTTCCTGTGTATGCTTATCCTTAACCACCCAAATATCCTCGATTTCGCCGTAAGGTGAGAACGCTTCGCGAAAATCTTCTTCGGTATGCGCTTTATTACATATTATGAAAAGTCGCGACATAGGCGGATCGTCATCATTTGAATAGTCCTGACCGCGGCCTCCACCACGGGATTGAGAGCGATAGTCTGACATACTTTATTATTTTGAATAAAAAAAAGAAATTTAATTTTGCAAAACCTAGTTTTTCTGCGTTTTTATTTTGCTGGCCGGACGCCGAATACAAAATGGCAGAATAATCAGAGAAGACTTTGTGTATACTATTGAATAAGTTATCGAAGGTACTTATCGATTGGCATTTCATTGTATTCCTTTTATTTTTTGTTTTGCTAACAAGAACGTCGCTTTGCAACACTAATGTTTGGCAAATGTTTTTGTTGAAAACTTAGGTAGGCGAGCAGATGCTCTGTTGATCCTGAATTACCTGCTGCGCAGTCTCAATAATTTGCAGGAGTTCATCATCACCCGTGTGCAATATCTATATAAAACACAACCCACCAATAACGAGGTATTAGTTCTTAAAATGAAATCGATACAAAGAGGAGCAATACAGATGCTGGCGATGATGATCTCCATCCAGCTTATACGTGGCGACATGGCTAAGATGTCTAAAAAGTCGCATGTGGAGGATTTTGATGGAGCAACAGCGTTATTCGAGGCACTAACATCGTCACCAAACGACGGTTACACCTACGATTGGCATGTGCACACATTCCCAAAATACAGCAATGAAATCGACGAAGAACCTGTGATGCGCAATTGCACAGTTTTGTATCTGGACCAGTGCACTTCTTGGAATAAGTGTCGACAAACTTGCCAAGCGACAGGTGCAGCTAGCTACAGGTGGTTTCACGATGGCTGCTGTGAATGTGTTGGTGGTCATTGCTTGGGCTACGGGATAAATGAGAGCCGTTGCAGCCAATGCCCCGAGCCTGGATGGGATACTGATGAATTAGATTAAATGATATATATATATATATATTGTTATTATTATGATAATTATTAGAATTAAGTTAATTGTTACAAATAAAATGGGGTGTGCTAAAGGGATCAATGAACAACATTCTTCTGTTCGACTAGTTCGATGATATAAAAACTATCGATATTACATATTGTGGTTATGCACATCTCTATTCATTTCAACTCCACGTTGTTTGGCGTAGTGGTCAATATTAACTAGAAAACCGCACAAAACTGCAAATGGGGCGCAAATTCATAAAGAAAAAGAAGGTTGAGCAGCTGGAGATAGTGCCACTGGATGAGAATCCACCTCTACCCAGCCAAAGACCATCTGATGAGGTGGTTCCGAAGAAGGTAAATCCATCTCATACAAGCATGGCATGCATTTTTACAATATTTGTAATATTTTTGCAGGAAAAATGGATAAATAAACAACGAGTCCTCGTGTTCGCGGCTCGTGGTATTAGCCATCGTGACAGACATCTGATGCGTGACATTAAAACTCTAATGCCCCATCATCGACCCGAGTCGAAAATGGAGCGATCAAAGACGCTGGCGGTTGTTAATGAAATGTGTGAAATGAAGCACTGTAATAAGGCCATGTTGTTTGAGGGACGTCGAAAACGGGATTTATATATGTGGCTGGCTAACACAGCGGGAGCCACAGGGCCGTCAGCCAAATTTCTCATTGAAAATATTCACACAATGGCCGAGCTGAAACTAACAGGCAATTGTTTAAGAGGCTCTCGGCCACTGCTGTCTTTTGATGCCAAGTTCGACGAGGTGCCCCACTTAAAACTTCTTAAGGAATTGTTTGTGCAAACGTTTTCAGTGCCCAATCATCATCCGAAGAGTCAGCCCTTTATTGATCATGTCTACACATTTACCTATCTGGATAATCGCATTTGGTTTAGGAATTTCCAAATACTATCCGAAGACGGTGGTCTCTCGGAGGTGGGTCCACGGTATGTAATGAATCCCGTAAAGATATTCGATGGCTCGTTTACCGGCAAAGCTATCTGGGAGAATCCCGATTATGTGAGTCCTTCCAAGCAGCGACAAATGTTAAAGAAGGCAGCTAAGGACAGATATGTAAATCGTGTGGAGCAGAAGGTGCAGCAGGAAGCGACGCGACCAGTCAAGGCTTATGAGGGCATTGACAATGAGGAGCTGTTCGACGATGCGGATCCACTAGAGACAGCCAAGTTGCTGGCACTTAAGGCCAAAAAGCGATTGGAGCAGAAGAAAACTCCTAAATCGGCGTTGACCAAGAAAATTAAGGACAAGCAAATGGAGGCCGTTAAGCAGGTGATCGAACAGCGTAAGGCAAGGGTCAAACGAGAGAAAAAAGTTTAAAAATGTTTTATTTCGCGTTACATTTACGAATAAATACATACATATATAAAAAACTGAATACATTTAATAAATACAATATTGTGCCTCAGTTACTTTCGTTCACGTTTTACAAAATAGAATATACGCGTAGATATATGTAAATATATATAAATATGTTGCCTTTTCACTACGTTTTGTACGTTGAGTTATTTTTGTTCAGACGGAGAGACATGAATATCTTAATTATGATGGGAGCACGGAATACATAGATATACATATATAGAAGAACAAAGCGTCTTTTGTTGCTGAATGGATGAGTTGCTGAATTACTCCGCCATTGGGGAGACTTCGGCATCAGTGGGCGGCAATCGAGTAATGCTAAACGGCTGCTTGTTAATGGGCATCATCTCGTACACCTGGATGGGCGGCTCCTCGCCTGGCTGTAGCGGCTCCTCGCCAACCAGTTTGGCCAAATTGCTCTGAGCCCAACGACCAGCGCGTCCATTAATAGTCTTGTCCTCACAAACGCACAGGAAGAGTGTATCGACAACCATCTAAGAATAGATTATAAAAACTATCGAATTTTTAATTAAATTAAAGTCATTTTTACCTCGAAGAGCGACAACACAATATGTGCGATGAAGAAAGAGAATATTATGATCAGAATCACGGGCGCCATGTAGAAATTCAAGCCTGGCTTATCCTTCAGCATAAAGATGCCCAGCAGACCCGACAGCGCAGCCACTACAACTTTGCCCAAGAACAAAATGAAATCGCCAATGCTGTTAATCGTGGCCACTTGCAGCGCATTGGTGGCCATAGCATTCCAGGCCTAAAAGATAAAAAAATATATTTATAAGCTGAATATATACATAAAACAGACTTGTGCGTACAATGCCCGCAGCTGGACAAAAGTTGATGGATTCAATGGCCACCACAGTGTAGGCATTGTGGTTGAGGAACCGTATAAATTTCTCCAGCAGCCAAAAGCCACAAATGCAGCACTTCAAGCAGCAGGCAGCGCATTCCGAGCCTTTGTCCTCGCCCTTCTTCAACCTGAAAGAAACACAAACATAAGTTAGATATCTATATTTATGCAGTTATAGCATAAAACTCACTTGGCATAAAGATAAGTCAATATCAATCGCGGTATTTTGAATATAGTTATGACAAAGGAGCCCTTTGCCACGGTGCCCAAATGGTATTTGATCAATTTGCCAATAGCATAAATAGTTGGCGTCGTTGTCGGCTTGCTGAAGTACCAAAAGGCCACGGCAGCGGCCAATGCGAATTGCTGGCAGGCAAAGATGAATTCCACCGTCCAAATCAAGCCAACCACATAAATCCAGAACATGCTGCGCAAAACAGTTGCATCTGCGTACTCTATGCGTGTGATGGCTAAAAGGGGACAGCATAAATTGTTATTAATATGCAATAAATGGAATAATCCATACATAAAGATATTCAAAGAATTGTATAGCGAATGGGTAACGCTAATCAAAAAGAGAAATATAAGAATATAGTATATATACAAGTTAAGTATATAAATATTTCAAATGTTGTCGGCTATAATTACACACAATACAAAATACACAAAGATAAACAAATTTATATACAGAAGGCTAATGCCAAATGAAGCATGCAAGCATTTAGAATGAAATTTTGATGTAAACACTTACACATTTAAATAACCCGATTTTGAACAATCAAACCAAAAACCAAAAATATATGCAGATGATTAATAATTTTGAAGTACATTTTTGGATACAATAAAACCGCAAAGATTTTTAATTTAGCAGATCTTTTGGGATAAATAATTTAGGCTCTTAGGTCGCTTGAGTACTCAGCGAGTTGGTAGTCCTAAAGCAATTAGCTTATGCTATAGTTGAACAGACTAGATTATGTAGTTAAAGCTAGTTAGATTGATCACTTACTTCTCTCATCGGTGCTGGGAGCTGTTTGATTGAGCAGCATTGCGGCTGCATTGGCCGGCAGGGATGGATGCACCGCATTGCTGTGAAACGGTGCGATGGGACTTTGATCGGGCGTTGTTGCGGTTACCAAACAGATGACAACAACCACCCAAAATGCAAGAAAGGCAATGAGCACCAGAAATGCCAAGAGGGGAGCTATTAAAAGTCCAGGCAAATTCATCATGCAGATGCCAGCCTCCTCGAAGAGCGCAGCCAGGCCAGAGAGCTTGTTCTTAAGGAAATATATAATGACCAGCAAAACAACCTGCAGAGCAACACAAATGAATTATAGATAGTCCATATTCAGCAAACTTTAGTTTTAAAGCTCACCATGGTTATAGTGGCCAGCACAGCGAGGGTGAACACAGCCTGCTGATTACGCAAAAACTCCTCGAGCTGCGAGTATTGCGTCGTACTTGACTTGTTGCGTATGCCGTAGTAGACATACCAGAGAGCTGCTGTTAGACCAATGCTGGCCACAATAACCAGCACGCAAATGAGCCAGGAGACAATGCGGGATAGCCAGTGCATCATGGTGACCAAAGCAATGGATATGACTAGACGAATATAACATTGATATAGTTTCTAATTTATAGCTTTAAATATAGATTAAGGGCATACGCAGGGAAACGGCACAAACACTGGCTATGATATGCCACGTGGAGTAGATGTCGCCAAGAAACTGTTGAGCTACATCCCAATTGTTAAGCATCTTGTACATTTCCTTAACCTCTTTGCTAGATTGCTTCGGCACACAGCGATGCAGTACGGGCGAGCTGGAAGACAAATGTGAAAAGTGAAATAAAAGTCCATTTAATGGTCAATTGAGTTACCTCTCTAAGATGGGTAAAGTAGGACATGGTCCGAGAGTATTGAACGTCTTATCCTCCTTGGTCATGCCCGGCTTATCCAATTGTGCCATATTATAATCATATTTACAATATTGGGCACCGGTCTCGGTGAAGTATTGATACAGTTCTTTTGGCTGATTGAGCGTTCGTTTCGGACAGCTTTTAACGCAGATCTTCAAGGATTTTTTCAGCTCCTTAACGTCAAAGTAAAGCAACTCCGGTTTGTCAATCGTATTCATGCCCGATAAAGGAAAGTTCTGAAATTTTTCATTGTGCTTGACGCCGCAAGTATTGCCAAAGGAATCATAGCCATTAATTAGACGCAAGGGATTGCCGAACACAAACGAAAATATCGCGATGACAATCTGCAAGCAAAGTAAACAAAATAAAAATGATCTAATCTGCATGCTAATAGAAAGACCTATTATATATGATAAAAATTTGTATGCATGTGCTACTGTATATCTATAATATATGATAATGTATGTATGTATGTGCTACTGACAGATGGAGGCAACGCCCACGGCTTCAAAATTGACATAGAGCATGGAAATCGCGTGAGGAAAACCAATTGTTAAAGCAATAAGAACGTTAATAATTATGCATAGGTTTAGCAAGAGGCGGTTGAGGAGGAGGAGGAAGAGGATGAGGCACATTAACCTCATTATTCATTGTGGTCAGTTTTACATTAGCAAAATTAGCAATTCCCACTCATATGACAACGATGACGTCACATGCATCTGTTTCATCCGGCGACCTCTTCCTCCCTTTCTTCCGTCATCCAATGAGACAACTTGCAATTGTCTATGATTAATCTTTGCAGCTTTCACTTTCTTGAAATAAATATCTAAGTTAGCAGCGTTAAGACAAGTGTGAATACACATATATACACTTATGTGTATATACACTTAATCATAAAAATATATTTAGTTTCACTTTTATTATATCATTTACCAAAAAGAGCCAAAACAATATGTAAATAGCCAACCAAAAGACATCCGTGCAGGAGCGATATTTGGGTCTATTTCTATTACTTTGAGCTTCACCCTCGCCATCCTTGCTCTCGGCACAACCCATGGTTTCAATTAAATATATTTATAACACTTAATGTAATTAACAACTTATTATTCTTGAGCCAATCAATATTTGTTTTCTTTTTCTCACAACCAAAACCGCGAAATAATAGACCAATTCACCAGGGCTGGGTCAGAGAAAGCAGACAAGCATTTAGGGTTACCACAGCGACCATTATTTACGATAAGCCGCAAGTTGTTGCCAAGCAAATAATCGATAAGAAACTAGTGTAACGATAATTCAAACACCTTAATTCAAATTGTTACATATAAATTTATTTATTATTCAAGTTTAAGCTTTTCTGACTAAATTGTAACTTATTTTTAAGCTGTTAACCTAATTTCGTAAATTTAAGCTGTAGGAGATATTATATTTGATTGTGTGTTTGATAAAAAATGAAAAAAAAAAAAAAAAACTAAACAGCTTCGAAATCGTATACAATAAATAAAAAAATCTTAACTTAAGTTTGGCCTTTTGTTTTTGCCAAATACTAAAAAATTGTCATTCCAAAATTGTTCGGTTTCGGATTTGTGAACAATTTTCGAACAAGATTTGAGTTCAATGTATTAAAATTAATTTAATTAAATTGCTCTTAAATTTTCTACTTATCAACTAAATATTTTAGAGACGCTTTTCTAAATAGTTGCTTCTTATTTTTACTTTTTTTTGTTTTGTTTTAGTGAGTTTCTATTTCTTGACCGTGACCTTAATTCCACCCTTGACAACCGCCTCCGCGGGCGGTTGACCAAATCTTCGACTCTGATTCGGGTTAGTTTTGCGACGTATACTGCTGTTGCCTTTGGACCGTGGTTTGGAGGCTTCAGTAGCTAACTCTACTTGACTCTGACTACGTTGGGAATCCTGCTCTAATTCCTCTGTGGGTGGTTTGAAGGTGCGAATACCGGAATTGGAGCGTACTGGCAGCAGGGTAACTAAGCGATGTGGACTCGGTTCCGTGGACGTTGCTTCTGCGAACTGGGATCTCTTCAAAAGTTCCTCGTACTTGATGGGGTCTACTACTTCCACCTCTGCCTCGCCCACAACGGGAATCGCAGCGCCCAACACTTCTGTGGAGCCGTCGTCCATAAAGCTCGACATGGGTCGAATGAAAGGCTCGCGCTGTTGCAGCGGCAGCTCCACAAAGTTCTTCACACTCGACTCCAACAAGGGCATGGATTCAGTGGTCGTTGACGTCGTCCTCACCTTCGTCTCATTCCTCTGGTTGTGCTTGAGTTTGTTCTGCGAGAAAGGCGGAAATTTCATGGGCACACTGGGCGTGATGCCCAGCTTGGAGGCCAGAGTGTCGAATATCAATGAAATATCCTGTATATTGCTGGCATTATTGATCCTCGTCTTGATATCGTGCAGCGTATAATTCTCGGTCTTCTCCACGTCCTCAGAGACCCAAGCTTGGAGTGTCTTATTGAACACCTTGCGCATATTGCTTCCATAGCCAAAGTTTACAGGCGACGAGCTGTTAACGAATTCCCACTTGGAGTGGGAGGGAAAGAGATTGGAGTCATCCAACATGACGGGCCGTTCGCTATTTGGACGTATGCGATTGCGCTTGGTGGTGCTGGTGGTTGGTGCCTCTGTGGTGCTAGTTGTGGTCGTACTTGTGGTCGTAGTTGTAGCTGTTGTTGTTGTTGTTGTGGAGCTTCGCTGTAGAATCAACTCTTTAAGATTCATAAAGTTGGGCTTGGCTGGACTGGTAGTCTCCACCGGCAGGTCCAAGTCCCCCTCCTTATCTTCAGCTTCAATGCGTGACTCCATCTGCTCTGGTACCACTGTAGTTGTGGCATTCTCCTCCTTGGGCAAATTCAGCAGCTCCATGAAGAATTCTCCAATGGTATCTGCTAGTACAGAGTTTTCCGGCTTCTGCCCAGGAGCAACAGGCTTCTGAGTTGGCGCAGTATCCAACTGTATCTTCAATGGAGTCGTCGAACTAGTCACCGTTGTTGTAGCCAACTTGACTGTTGTGCTCTCCACCTTGGGCTCCGCATTGCTAGCATTCTCCTGCTTCTTGGCTATGACTCCGCCGCCCAAATGCTCGAATTTCTCATTGTTGCCGTCGATGTTGAACTGCAGCTTGTTCATACCGCCCAGCGTGGGATTGATGGGTCTGAAGGGTGGCACAATGACGTCATCGATCAGTGGCACCGGCAGCGGATGTGGCTCAACGAATGCACCACCCAAACGCTCAATGTTCTCCGTGCCAGGCAAATAGACGGGACTGCCGAAGTTATGATAGAAGAGCATATCCTGCTCTGGCTTCTGACCATTGGGCAGATCTAACTTGTCATCTGCTGGCTGACGGCTGGCATAGCCAGAAAGAGCCACAAATGGATCTAGTGTAACGCCCAATGCGGGTATTGCAGCGGCTGGGGGCGTCGGGTTATCCGCAATAAACGGCAGCTCCAACTCATCGATGCGACGTTGTGGCAGCATCTGATTAATCGTTGGCATCGTTTTCGTGGGAAAAGCGGGCGGTGGTCCGGGTATCAACTCCGGCACTTCACGATGTATGGGTCGCCATGGCTGAGTGTCTAGTATGGGAAAGGTGGTAAAGAGATTCGCATCCAGTTTGGGCAGCACCATGGTCGAAGTGGGCGGCATATGTGTGGTTGTAGTTGTCGTTGTGCTGGGCGTGGTTGTTGCTGGGGGAGCAGCTGTTGTTGTCGTTGTGGTCGTTGTTGTTGTCGAGGGCTTAGGTGTGGTTGTTGTTGTAGTAGTTGTAGTAGTGGTCGTCGTTGTTGTTGTTGTGGAAGGCGTTGTTGCTTTAGTCGTGGTTCTTTTACTGGTGGTTGTTGTTGGTTTTCTAGTGGTAGTCATGGTTGTAGAGCTGCTGATCATTAGATTTTGAGGCGTTATGGTCGTCAGCTTATCCACGCTCGGTTTTTTCGGCTTCACACGCAGCGAATAGGGCGTCACTGCTATGGACTTGGGTGGCAGACTGCTGCTCTGATAGGAACGCGTTGGCGAAGTCTTCTTGCGCGCAATATCCGCATCCGTCTTGGTTATCTCAAAGGAACCCTCAAACGAACCTTGTATAACAGGTGCATTCTCCACATCTATTTCCGGCTCATCATCGGCTGAATGCGGACGTGAGGTTGGACGCGGCTTAACTGTGGTCTTGCCTTGTAGTGGGGCAAGTGGCGCGACGGCTGGTGCACTGCCCTTCTTCATCAGACGCTTCTCCAATTGGGTCTGGCTGGTGGGCACCGTTTGCTATTATTACAGATTTAAAGGTTAGTTATAGATCGAAATTTGAAGTCTTGCCGTGCTTACCGCTTCCTTCAATATAGCTGCTGAGCGCACAACTTGCTCATCGAGAATTCGCTTGATCTCCACGGATTCAGTGTCCAGACGCAGTGAGCGATAGAGCGACTTGCTGACTGAGGTTTCCAGGAACAGAGATTCCTTGATGTACTCCTCAACGCTGATTATATTTCTAATATAAAACAGTATTAGTAAAGTTGCAATGAATTGTTTGGTGAAGTACTCACTGTGGCAGCTTGCGCACATCTAGAAATACGCGAAAAGATACTTTAATCAATGGACCCTCCCCAAAGCCCCAGACATCGGTGCGCAGTGGTTGCAGCCCATTGTCCGTCAGCGCGCGCTCCACAAATCGCTTATAGAACTCGATCTTTTGCTTGTAGGTCGTCGTGTGATTGTATTTCAGTCCCGTGGAATACAAATCGCCCTTGGCAATGCGAAAGGAGCCCTCAAAGCCAAGAATAGCTGCAAGAAATAGATAAATTGCTCCATAAGTTAATGATTGTTAGGAAATGTAAAATGTAACGTTTTTCGATAATCGATGGCAGCAATACAAGAACCAGTTATTTAAAAAACTATCCCAAAGCGTTTGTTATACTTTGAGAAAGTATTGAATTTTTATTTAATCAATTTAGTTCTATGTATATAAATACTTACGATCCTCCAGCGTAGCCTTAATGGAGCTGAAGTAGAACGCCAGCCCGGCTATGGAGATCACCGCTAGCAGCACTATGAAAGCGGCTGTCGTTAATATAATCGAGAACGATCGATTCTTTGGATAGTGCGTATGCGTTTTCGTTGAAAATGTGGATGGCGCTATATTCCGGCCATCCCGCCAAATGCCCCATGTATTATAGCCGCCATATTGACTGTTGATGCTGTGATCGTTCGTGTACGAGGGCTGCTTGTTCATGTGATAATAGGCGCCCAGCTGAGAACGACGGCCCAGCGTGTTCTGATAATTGTATTCGGAGGTGTTCTACAATAACATAAATATAATTTCTTAGAGAAAACAAAACACTTTTATATTTGTCTGCAGTAATTATTTATGTAATTATGATGATGGTTCGGTTAGTTCACTGCCAAGTTCAACTTCCGGTCTAGAGGTTGCAGCCCTGGTCGCATAACAAATCGCAACATAATTATTTTTCCATGTTGCCCAAAGTGAGTTTCGAATACATGTCAAACAAATGTCTGAGTAAGCAAGCTATCAAAAACAATTAATCGGCGCTAATCAGATAATTATCTGAGCACTTGACTAATGACTCGAAGGCTTTGCGAAACTTTCTCAAGAGACCCGCTAGACCTTTGCATACTTTCTTTCAACCTAAAAACTAAAATAGATCACAAATCTGATTAGCATTCTAGTTTAACCTTGATTAGAGTTTGCCTAAATTCTAACGGTTAGCTGGGAGAACTCAAATCGTGTGATATTATAAGAAAATTAGTTAGCAGCTGTCATCATTTCTTAATTAATGCCGTCATCCGACGCAAAACTCTTTCCCGCGTATTACGTATTTCATTTAGTCAGTTATTGCACTTAGCTAGCAAGCCACTTCTGTATAAGACTATGATGATGATGATGATGATATATAAGACTGATGTATAAGACATCATAGGTCTACATTCTAACAGGTCTACTTTCTAACAGGTAATAGAACGGATATTGGATATTTTTACAGGGATATTATAAATAAATATTGTTTGTTTTATTTTTTATATTTTCATTATTTTTCCTTTCTGTAGTCTCCTCAGTACAGGGTATCTTCAATCCAATCAAGCCAACATACTTCCTCTTTGTTTTGCCGTTTTGTTCTCCAATTGCCCTTTAGCAGCCATTAGCTTTGGAGCATAATACAGACCGTCTGTATTTCATCTCCCCTCTCCTGCTATCGCTCTCGCTCTCCCTTGCTATATGCTTCGACAACCTGTTGTCTCAACAGCTGTTTTCCAAGCCTAGCCGAATTCTTGGTAGCATCTCTCTCTCTCTCTCTCTGTCTCTCTCTCGCTCCACGACTCTGTTCGCTTTGTTCGTTCGTTCTGTTTGGTTCTTTAAAGAGAAAGTCATTCACCTTTAGCGTTCTAGCTTGTTGAAATTGTTTGACTTAATAACTAAAGTTGGCATCTGGTTTGTAGAATGGGCAATGCAAACAGCATCAATCGCATCAAACGAACCTAAATAAATATGCAGCTGAGTTCTTTGTCGTTTCGTCTTCATCTCGAATCTCGAGTGGGCTTTACGTAAGCGCTTATCAAGAGTAATTCTTTATTCCGCAGAAGATATTTAACCCAGTTTTGCTTGAAATAGTCTCTTGTCATGCAAATTAGTTTCTAATATTATTCATCGTCAAGTTGTATAACAGTTAACCATTCTTTCACAATGATAAAGAGAGGAAATATACATAAGTAGGTGCAGATAGTTACGAGGCAAGTCAGTCAATTATACAAACCATTTGTCGACATGTCTGCGTGCGATATATATCGCTGACACCGGACAAGCTCTGAAAGTATTTCTTGGTGCCATAAACCGTGTCCATTTTGCAGTAATTCGCACAAGATACTCAATGTTCGGATCTGCAACAGTTGCTCTGTAAGAAAATACAAAATGTAAGTTGAATTATATTAATTTAAATGCATATAATATGTTTAAATGTTGTTTTGAACTAGTTAGATGAACCAGAAACGAATTTACTGTATTTTTAAGGTACAGCTCTAAAAAACGTTGAGCTACTTAGGAATTGCAAAGTTCTCTAAGCAAACCAGTTAGTAAGCAGAACTGTAGGTGAATCAGTAAATGAAACGTTAATAATTTAATCTACTTAGTTCACTTTCGATCAAAACAAAACCAACAAAAACAAAAACTGCGAAAAGAGTTTGCTTTCTATTGGTCTAAATTTTGAAGCTGATTGCTTCATCTGAGTTTTCAAACACGCTTCCGGTGGCCAAAAAACCGGCTAGTCCTGTTCCACCATCCTATGGAAATTCTCACTTTTCGCCAAGCAAAAGAAATTACAAAAAGAAAATAAGAATGACACCGAGGTGTGGAAAATTGTTATGCAGCTCAGGCTTGTTAACCGGTTTACCTGAAATAAATCTACTCCAATGAAATGCTTTCTATGGGAACACAGAGCTGACATTTTCACAATTAAATTACAATATTATATTTCTCACACATATACATATATATTGTCATAATTGGTTTATGGAGCAAGTCAAGTGCTGGCTGGACAGTCGTAAAAGCGAAAGCTTTTCCAAATTTCCAAAACCCAAAAGCAAAAAATATATAGGTATGTAAAGTCTGTTGAGCCAAATCTAATTAGAAAACTCCGACACTTTGGATACGCTTGCTAGGCCTCATCTTGAGCTACAAATTCGAAACAATTGTGTTGGCATTTTCACTCATGTTGAGAGGGAAAAAAGAAATAACGAAATGCAGAACACACTCGAGTGACTTTTTTTCAACCCAAGTACAAGCTGAAGATCAGGCAAAGAAACCAGTTCTGGGTTGGGTTTGGATGGCTCGGATGGCTTGGATGGCTTGGATGGCTTGGATAGCTGGCTGGGCAGGGTTATTGCTCGTGCCAGCGAGTCATATACATACGTAGTATTTATATTGCCACTATGTATAATCAAAGCTTAGAGAAACCTGTGTAAAAATAGTCTTTGCGTTTACTACTTGGGATGCCAAGCTGTGCGATCAGCGAGAAGCGAGCGCCGAGTAGCAGCAACAAAAATGTTAGTCTTTTGAGTTTTGAGCCTCGTCGCTGAACTGTCAAAAGTAAAAGTTCTGCTTTGGAATGCGCTGATGATGTTGTTATTGTTGTTGGCCCAATGCTTGATGTTGTCTGTCTTCAGGTGAAACTAATTGGTTTTCTGTTGTTTTCAGATACAAGCTCAAAGATAATATTGAAAGGCTTGCAATATTAAGCAGCTCAAAAGCTAAAGAGGCGGACTGTTTTTAATGAAACAGTTTTAAGCGATAAGTGAGTTGAAGTATCGCTAAATTCACAAATGGATTAACGCATCTCTTAAGCAGGTGCAAAAGGCGAGCCAAACTGATCCCTAAGTGATCAGAAGATCAAGGAAGAAGGAGCGAGCTGAAATGAGTGGTTCACGTTTAAACCAATGTTTATTTACTGAATTTCCGGTCTTCAGTCTAAGCTTCAGCCTAAATCTTCAGTGACTTAATAAGTTTTTGGAAAATTATTTAGTTAGTAAATAAAACGGCACATTTTCCGCATGAGGAAAGCAAAAAAATTTGCATAAAAAACAACAAAGCGGCGAAGCAGAAAAAGCTTTATGTACAACCTGCAGTATAATTACAATTAATATAAGCAGCAAGCATACACACACACACACACACACACACACGTATGCGTATGCGTATGCGTGTACGTATAAGAACAATCATTGAGTGTGGCCAGGCTGACAGACACGCACTCACAAATGTGAGTGCCGACACACACGCATACGCGCATAAGAACCATCATGGAGTGTGGCCAGACACACATATGTGAGTGCTGCCAGAAAGCGCCTGGCCGAGCCACTGCGATTGCCATGGCCATTGCCATGGGTTGACGTTGACCCAGTTGCGCTGCCGCAACTCAAGCGAGCCAAAAAGAGTCAAAGCGTCGGCACTTGAGGCGCAGGCGCAGACCCCAAAACTGGAAACCTGACCGTTTGTTGAATGTACATTTGTGTAGGCATGTGTGTGTGTATGTGTGTGCGTAAGTATTTACGGAGAAAGAACAAATTGAATTATGTGTGTAAAGTAAAAAAATAGCTGAAAAAAATCAACACTCACTCACAATTCGGTGGCATTAAGACGTTGTCAACGTCGACAGCGCATAAGTTGATTAAATTTCTCGCATTAACCGATTTTCACCCATTGGTGAAACTGTGGAAGCAATGTAGCAACAACTACAACAACAACAACTACGACAACAACAACAGCAGCAACGTAAGCTAAGAATGATTGATGAGAATTCGGTCTAGCCGAATTTCTAACGGAAGCGTGCAACCTGTTTGGTCCATATAACCATTGTTGAATTGTTATTGGAACTGTTTGTTGAACAGTTTTCAATAGTGTCGAACCTGTGAAACGATCTTTCGAGCCAGATTATAATCAAGCACATCCACTTTCAATAATAATGGCCACACAAAGTGTCAGCGACGAAGAAAGTGAAATGTGAACATTTCGACATTTGGAAATGTTTATCAACATAAAAAAAAAAACAGTAAAAACAGTAAGAGATGCCAGCGAAATGGAAAGTTTATTTTTCGTAAAAAAAAAAAAAAAAAAAACTAGAAGATCGAAAAAAGCATTCCAAACAATGCAGCTTTAAAAAAATATCAACCAATTTCCTAAATTTGAAAGTATTTATTTATTTATTATTTTTTCGCACACGTCTGGCTAGCGAGATGTCATAATTATGTTGCTGAGTTATTCGTTTAGACTCGGAGGTAAATTTATGCAATCTATTGATGGAATGAGCTGCGGTAAAAGTAGCTCAATATGAGCGCGCACTCATGAATGAAAATAATTGTATAATATATATAGTAAGTAATTGTTTCGCATGCATTAATATGCAATATGCAGCACAGCTTTGCAATTTCATAATCATTCTAACGGCTTTTCGCCTTGAACGCCTTATTAGAGCAGAACAACAACAGCAAGTGGCAGTGGCAGTGGCAGAGCTAGAGACGACAACAGCAGCGATAAGCCTTTAAAATGTTGGTAAACGTCACCAAAGTTCCGTACGTGGAACTTTGGAGCTTGGAACCAAAAAGTGCATTTCATTTGGAATGACTAGCCGAACGACACTGCAGCAAGCACTTCTGCACGCGAATGGGATGGGATGGGATGGAAGGCGGGCGGGTGGGCTTAGTCATTAAAAGCATTAACCGTTACGCTTTAACCAAACTAAATATGTATGCAATTAAAAGCAAACAAATCTCAAGCCGTCGCTCTTTCCCAGCCATGTGTGAGCAAGTGTGTGAGCCAGTGTGGGTCTGCGTGTGTATAGACTGGAACAGAATTTGGCTGGAATAGCTTATTTGATTCACAGGCTTGCGAGCTGCAACAAATTTTGTGTAGTCACCCTGTGTATATGTATTTATTGTTGCTGCTCTTAGTGCTGTTATACTACTAACAGCTTTGAGTAAGTGCTAAACGGTTATTTTGACAGTGCTGCCAGACAAATTTACAAAAAATGTATAATAATAAAAATAACAAAATGACGTTGACTGATTATTAAACGGTTTTCTGATATTAGTTTGGTAAATTGAATACACATTTGGCGCGCAAGCAGTAATTGTGTAGTCACCCTGTGCTGATAGAAAGGTTAAATAGCGAGTTTTTTCCAATTGGATTTAGTTTAGTATTGTGTAATGTCGGCAATTCAATGATATTTAAAGCGATCTCTAAAGGTTTTATAGTCATCCTGGGTTGTGGCGAAGCGGCTTTAATTAGTGTTGTGTAATCTAAGAATGTAAACGAACAATAAAATGAAGTTGAGGTAGCTATTAAAATATCCAATCCCAGCTGAAAGTGTGCACAACAAATGCAAATAAGAGGCGCACTGAGTTTTCATAGTATGCGGCAGAGAAAAGGAGAGAGGAGGGGAGATAGAAAGAGAGAGCGAGAGATGCATAGATAAGAACCAAAGACCAAGTGTAATTAAAGCCACGATCAAAATGCAAGACACGCCGATGAGCGACTGCATTTCATTTTCTTCTTTCCTTCTACTTTTTCTCTCGCTCTCTATACCCTGAACCCATTTAATTGCGGGGTATAATAGTTTTATGAAGATTAAGGTGTGGAAGACTTGAGTAAATATATCTATATCGTGATCAGGACGACAACTTGAGTTGAGCTAGCTATTTCCCATTCGTCTGAGGTCGCAGGGTATCTCCAGGTCAGGTACTCCCCAGTTCGTACTTCTTATTTATGGGTTGTTATTTCCCCAAGTGCATTTGCTTTACCGCTGCTGCTGTTGCTGTTGCTGTTGCTGCACCGACTCACAATTTGAGGTCGCCGAGACGCGGCTTGGCTGGCGAAACAAAAGATCGGCCCATTAGCTGCGATTTTTACATCATTTGAATGCAATTTAGCTGCAGTTTAGCGTTATGTTCTATTTCTCTGCCCAGCTCGAAGCGAATCAGTCGCTACGATGTCCAACTCGCCGTCCGTCCGCCTCTCAGTCTGTCATTTATTTTCATTGTCTTTCTCGCCGCGAATCGTGCGGCACAGTTGACCAGCAAAAGATGCCAACGTCAATTGTAATTTGGGTTAGCTCATAATGATCGAGTCGATCTTTCTTGCCAATTTGCGATTCTACACAGTTTCAGTATGTTTATATTGTATGTATGTGTGTGTGTGGGTGTAAACTGGAAAAGAAGTGAGGGAAAGAGGGGAAAGCGGAGAGTTCTTCAAAGGGAGTTTGCGACGCAGGCATCGAGCTTAACGAGCGAAAGTGTTTGATTAACGCAGAATTTGTTTCGCAAAAAATGAAGTCAAGCACAACAAAAAATATAAATCATAAAGCTGACAATACAAAAAATTTACATAATTTATAATCTAGAGAAATTACCGAAAAAAAGAAAATAACAATAAACTAAATTGTTTAAATGGATTGATAAGAAAAGAGAAGAATGTAAAAATTGATAAAAATAGATTTATACATAAATCATTTATTTATGCGCATAAATGCAAATTAAATATTTACATATTTTATATTATTTTTTACATAATTTTATATTCTATATACTTCATATATTTTCATATAAAAAGTCTTTATACGATTTTTCTTAGAAATTCCTTTTTCCCAAGAGCTTTTCTTTTCTTATCAGAAAACGCAACATGTTTTCCATTAGTATTTTTCTCTTTTATCAAAAATAATTACGAAGAAGAAAGATATTTTTCAATTAGTATTTCTCTTTTGATCCACTTCCGTCACGAAAACTGAAAACTGAAAATTATAACGAGTGAAACTGAAAATTAAGCTCAGGCGGCAAAAAAAAAAACTGTCGTCTCTTTGACACCGATTTTGAGGGGGGCGTGGCCAATTGCATGCCAAGCCAAGAAAAGCCAACGATTTTAACTAATTTTCAGCTGTCTTCGACTTGATTTTGGTTTTAGTTTTGTCTTTGGTTGTGGTTATTCTGCATGTTCATAGCTGATTCATGATGTCGGACTTTCACAATTTTGCTAAGCGAAATTTCGGATCGATTTGTATATCGATTTTGTTAAGTGAGTCAGAGTCTTGTAAGATGTCTTACAGCTTCCGCTTTTGTTTCTAACAGTTTGCCCCGTTTATAAATCAATTTCCGGCAAGTCGTTTTGCTTAATTGTCCAGTTTAGCATATCAGTTATCGGATTGGAGCGATCTACAAGGCATAATAATAATGGAGCAACGGGTTCCATTGACGCCAATTGGCCCACTTCATCAAATGTTGTTCGTAATTGCTCACGGTTAGCGACATTAAGAACAAATGGACAAAGAGAATGTTAACAGCGATATTCTCTATTCTACATTGTTTATGAAGACGAAGCTGAAACTAAAGCTGTATACTGTAGAAGCGTATCAAACTTTGTTGGTCAGTTCGCCCTTTGCTTTGTTTTCTTTTAGTTGCTTTTCGTATTTTCTAATTTTTCAACATTTTATAGCACCTGGAGCATATGAGTCTTGTCTTTTATGGCCCAGCGTTTCTTTATGCCTTTAGTTTTTATCGCTTTTATTGCGAAGAAAATCATATTTTCTGCTACTTCTTTGAACATGTTCGGTAATGTAACCAGTTTTGTACCTTCAACTTTAAGTGCAACCACTTTTTTCTAGCTTAATGCATGTCTAACTAGTTTATGAACAGGGAGCATTTTTCCTTAAGCGGAGCAAATGAACTCAACAAAAATTCAAGAAATTTAAGCAAAATAAAAAAATAAAAATGTTCAATCATATTTGTCATTTTTCTCAGTATGAACTTACCAATTAGTTTATTCGCTATAGTCCAAGTGAGTTTTGCAGTTGTTTAGTTCCATTTGACTAAGTTCTAATTTAAATTCACAATATAACAGTTAACTACTTTCAAATAAGAAGCATGCATTAAGGCAATCGATCAATGAAACACACTTGCAGAGTTATATACACCAAATATGTTTTTCATCTACTATTTTAACGGTACAGATATTCACGTCAAACGATTTTCAAAGACATTTTTTCTGGAAGACAACTGAACGCGCCCGAAGCTCTAAGAAAACTAAAATCCAATACGAATCTCAGCCAGACCTGCAAAAGAGAGTAAAAGATGAGCCCGGCGCGCAGGTCAAAGAGATTGACAGTTACACAGGCGCAGTGAACGACGCTCGCTCTCAGTCGCTCTCACACTGTCTTCTTTCGATGAGGTCGTGTCGATCGAGTTGGCAGGTCTTACGCTCTCAGTTTGTTGAGTGAGCGCATTTATATTAAGTTGGCAGTCTTTGTCGCGCCAAAGAAAATTTCAAAGAAATAAATTAACAAATATATTAACGAAACAATTTTAGCACATTTATTAGTTATTTATTTTATACATTTGTGAATAACATAGTTTATACAACAGGTAATTGAGCTACATTTATCCCTCGACGAGTTTGTTGTCCCACGACTTGGCAATCATTGCAATGGCGTGTCGCTTCAGTTTTGGCCCAATTAATGGGTTCATTTGGGCCATGTAGCAGCACAGCCAGAAAAGCCAGCAACAAGCCGCAGTCAGCATCAGGATGCAGCGTATTAAATTTTGATGTGGACCTTTTGGTGTCATAACGGGCATTGCAATACCCACACCACCCCAAACGGCAGTGAAAAACAACACTGGGAAGAATGCAGCACCCATATTTTAAATAATTAACTTTTTCCTTGCTACTGGCACGTATATTTAATAAAATACAATTTTGATCGAACACCAAATGTTGTTTGCTTCCAATAAGAATTCTGTTCGTAAAATCAATAAAATACCGATATAAAAACTTACAAGTGTAATCGATAGCTTGTAATTTAAGATACCAGCTATTCGATACATTTTGTCGAATATAACTGGAGGTTGCGGTGGTAAATGAGGCTGTGGTGCGTCACAGTTGTAATTTCGTTAAAATTGATTTAAAAACTGCAAAAAATTGAACCTTAACATTTCAGGTAAGCATATCACTTATTTAGTATATGTAATTCGTTAAATATATACATATTTCTAGGTGCAATTATGTTTTCTGTCAATTGACCTTGGCTGTTTATGCTCTGCGCTAAATTATTGACAGCGACGATGTGGTATTAAAGTTCGCTTTCGCATGATGAGCTGGGAGTACCAAAAATATGTCTGTGCCGTCGAAGGCTGCGGTAAAAAGTTTAATACAAAATGGACTTTAAAGCGACATTCAGCCAAACACCAGAGGGGCTCCACTACACTATACTATTGCACAAAATGCAACAAATCCTTTTCTCGCAAAGATTCATTAGATCGACATAATCAGTAAGTAATAATTATTCATTTCATAAATTAATTTCAAATAATCCATTCACTTATCATTAGCATGAGCCACAGCGACATATTATTAATGTATATGTGCCCAGAGAAAGGCTGTGGAAAGCTCTTTAGTCTTAAATCCACGCTTTATCGTCATATATCTTCGCATACAGAGTGCTTCAAATGCGTAGAGTGTGGCAGTAGCTTTTCACGGAAGGACAATTTGACTAGACACAAGACGTAATTAATTGTAGCTTAACTGTTTTATAATTAATTTACATATTTTTAAGTTATCCCTATAGTATTCATACGAAAAACCTATCGAGCCATCACGAGAAGTCTATCGAATCTGATGCGGTTGCCAATCTTACTATTGAGCAAATCCCTATCCTGGAAAATACAATGGAATGCAATGATGTAGACGATGATCGGATATATATGGTCTTGGATAGCTAAATACTGTAATCCTATTAAAAATCAAAATCAAGCATCTCACCCGCCCAAAAGTATCGATACTAACTTATAATAAAATCATTGAATGATCAAATACAGTAAAATTAAATAATAGTTTCTTTGTAGCTGCAAACCATCACTGATCGTAAATAATTTGCATTTTCGACAATCTAATTAATGAGCGCATATCGAAAATCAAATATTACCTCAGCCGCCCAATACAACACCATACAACACTGAGTTCCAATACCTATCGATATTTATTTATAACATGTTTATCGCAATTATATAGTGTAAAAGACATTTTTTATAAAATCTTACGCTTGAAAAAGAAAGTTAGCAAAATGACGATGCGACCGGATGATCACCGAAGAAAATGGAACAAAAACGAGTACGAAAAGTTGGCACAAGAGCGCCTGCTTAACCAAGCAGCGCCAAAGGACGAAGGTAGGGCAAACATTGTACCTTCCATAAGCAGGGAATCCATTAATAGAGCTTTATTGATTCTGTTTTAAATAGAGCCCGTGCAGCGCGAGAATCTGAAGAGACGCGACTATAAGGTTGACCTGGACAGTAAGTTGGGCAAAAGCGTCGTGATAAACAAAAACACACCTACCTCACAATCTGGCGGCTACTACTGTAATGTTTGCGACTGTGTCGTCAAGGATTCAATTAACTTTCTGGATCACATCAATGGAAAGAAGCATCAGCGTAATCTGGGCATGTCCATGAAAGTGGAGCGCAGCACCGTTGACCAGGTGAAAGATCGCTTTCAGCAGAACAAGCAAAAAATGGCCGAAAAACAAAAAGACTATGAACTGGAGAAGAGACTACGCGAGGCCAAGGAGGAGGAGGAACGCTACAAGGAGCATCGGAAGGAGAAGCGAAAAGAACGGAAACGTAAAGCCGAGGATAATGATGAATTTGCAACGACTGGTCTGCCCGACGATATGGCTGCTATAATGGGCTTCTCTGGATTTGGCGGATCAAAGAAAAATTCATAGGAAACGATTGATATGTTGACCTCAATAGAATATAGAATATATATAAAAAGAGAGATTTTCCACCAACGAAGCCATTTATTGGGCTAATCGCTATGACTGTGATTGGTTTGCGACATTTATTTCATTTTATATATATTATATTATATGTATATGTACTCGTGTGTGAATATGTATAAGACAATTTTACACCAGTTATTTATTGTATTGTACAACAGGGCTTTGACCAAGTTAATAATTTAATAAGCAGTTAAAATGCACTAATTCTTAAACTAAATATTGTGGACCCCCGAAAAAAAAACACTCGAATACCATAGTTTTTTTTTGTGACTGCCAAAAACAATAAATGCGTAGGGTCTTAAGTAAATACAAAGCCATGTTCGATGGGTATGTCCCATGGAATGGTGAAGAACTCGCCCGGCAGCTGAGTGCAATGCGACGAATTGTAATCGCGTAAATGCTTGCGCAGCTGTATAAATTATATATATTATTATGATGAGCAATAGATGTTTTTATAATAAATTGTAGACCTACCAGAAAGAGTGCCATTTGACTGCGTGTTTCCTCATTGTATTCGGCTCCAATCAGCATGGGATAGGACTTGCCTTCATCGGAGGCATAGGTTATAAGACGAGACATGCACAGCTTCTCTTCGGCCAAGCTATAGCTGTACGACTCCAAGGGCTTTGCAAGCAATGCCTTGGCATGCGACAGCTGTGGTGCCTTAAACAAATTGGGATAGCGATATTGGAGCACACCAAGCGTGAGGTAATTGCCGCGATTCGTGTCAATACGATTGTCCCTGCAAAAGGCAAAGTAATGTGAAATAAACTAAATATACAAATGAAAACTGATGTTAACCCTACTCGGCTATAATCTCATCCTCTGTTCGACGTATGAACAGCAGTGGTCCATTGTACTTAACAGCCAACTCAACATTATTCAGATTGCAATGCTTGCGTATGGCAATGCGAACGATGCCGCCCAAGCTGGCGGGCATACGTGGCTGAGCCAGGTAGAGCACATCATCGAAGGTGGCATCCAATACCTGAAACAAATATAATTCAATTAAAAATTTTTATCCACGGACGCGCTATTTATCACTTACCACACCCTTAACATCGGGATAAATGGTGGCAGCCCACAATGTGCTAAAGCCGCCAATGCTCCAACCGAACAATAAAATATCCTCAATGCCAAAGCCCAGATGATTGATAGCGAAACGCACCACAGCATCGATGGCATTCTTATCCTGATCCGGTTTCGGTTGACCCGTGCTGCCGGCAAAGCCCGGATGATTCCAACCCAACACTGAGTATTTTAATGCAATTGGTGTGCCCATTATGCCGACTTCATAGAAGCCAGCATTACCCTCGGAGCAGATGACTAGAGTCTTGCCATTGCCCACATTATCATTGCGATTGTCAATAAAGAGAGTATCGATTTCATTTGAATCAATTGTCTTTACTTTATAGCGAATGCCATTGTCGTCTTCGATGAGCTTGGCGCGGCCAGAGATCAAGGCGGGCCCTGTAAAGGAGAATTGATTAGTTCTAGATTAACGGTATTATATTGCATTATCGTTGCTCTGGTGGGGAAAACATGCAGACGTACTCATGAACTTCTGCAGCAGCTTCACGGAGCCGGGATAGATCAGAGACAGCCCAAAGGTGTGTATGGCTACATAGGCAAGCAACTCGCACGGCAATGTGGCAATGCTCAACCTTTCGCGACGACTTATAGTGGTCGTGGGCTTCTTGGCATCACTGACAGATAAATATTCATATAATATATAGTTTGAGACGGTATTTGCTTTGACACTTACCCCGCTATGGCCTTCACATCAAAATCCACTGGCCATGCAGAGAAGTCAATGTCGAATCGACGCAGTGCATCCGACGATCTATTTTCTTTAGCCGAATTTAAAGCATTTATCATGTTCGTATATGCACGCGACTGTCGACGTCCAACGCCGCGCATAAATAAAGAGATGATGACTATCAATCCAACGCTCGTTGTGAGCTTTGCGAGCGTTGGAATCGAATCAGTGACGAAATAGCCGCGCCTATAGAGGAATGTGAAGATCAGCGGTGACGTATAATAGCTGACCGACCAAACCACAGACAGCTGCAACAACAAAATACTAATTAGTTCTGGTATTACTACACGTAAACAAGCACACAACAAACTGCCACACACACACATGTACACAGACACCTCTTACCGTTGACAAGATTTGTTCACCAAATTTTTCAGCTGCACCGGGCTCATACATTTTCCTCTACAATAGGAAAAAATGATTAGAATTTACCAAACACAATTTATTTACCTCATACCTGCGGTTCAGGTACACCTCTGTACTCCATGTACAATTTTGGCCCGAATATATAATTAAAGAAACTCATTTTGCAAATATGTATTTGCGTCTGCGTCTGAAAAATATTATTATATATTTTTTACTGAAATGTGAAAGTGAGCTTGTGAAACGCAGCTGCAATCGCAATATGAACTAGTTCGCTATACGTGATAGAGATGTGCGCGTGCTGCCACCAACAAACTACGAAAATGTTATTCTTCGCTGAGCGAAAAGTACAATTTTTATGTCGTGCAAACTATTTTTATTTACAATTGATATTTTAGTTTTGCTAAATAAAAGAAGCAAGAGCTTCTGTGATAAGTGTAGTTGTGTTGCCTAGTGCTGTGTAATGAATTACAGTAGGCCAAGGAGCTGATTGGGAAGTTCACTTCATTCTGCTCCAGTTCGATTACATCAAGTCATTTGTTGTTTCAATTCGGAGCAGTCAAATTGGGAATTCAGCGCAATTTTTTAGCCGGTCAAAATGGAAAAGTTTAGCAAAGCGCAAGCCAAAAATTTGGCAGCTGCACAGAAATTAGTGAATGCTTACGACTCCAGCTCCGAGGACGAAGGAGAATTGGATGAAAAGCATATTCTTGGTAAACGACAGGCAAAGGCTTATGACGTGTCCACCCATTTTAAACTTGTCTATTTTAGATCTTTTGTATAAACATTACAAAGCTCCAGTGAATGCAGCGAGTGACAACAATATTAACCGCACCGCCACATTTCTGGAGAACACTTTGCACTCGGGCGCTGCTACGTGTCTAATTTGTATTGGCAGCATTCGACGCGTGGAGTCCATTTGGTCATGCAAGAGCTGCTATTGCTTCTTCCATCTCAATTGCATACAGCGCTGGGCCAACGACAGCGTAATGCAAATGAAGGTCAAGGCGGAGCAGCAGAACAATGGCCATCAGGGCTATTATAATCATCTGGGCGAGTTTGTGCCTCCCAAACGTACAAAATCACTTCACTGGTGCTGTCCACAGTGTCGTAGAGATTACCAACCAGCGGATCGACCCACACAGTATGAATGTTTTTGTGGCAAGGAGGTGAATCCGCAGCCACAGCCCTTTCTTGTGCCCCACTCCTGTGGCGAGATTTGTGGCAAGCTGTTGCAGCCGAAATGTGGCCACGATTGCAAATTGCTGTGCCATCCGGGTCCTTGTCCACCCTGTGCCCAACTAGCTAACAGTTCTTGTCTCTGTGGAAAGGCGGCAATGCGGAGCGTGCGGTGCATCGACAAGAACTGGCAGTGCGAGCAAAAGGTATGTGGAGTGTCTTCAGACTCTTATATGAAATCTGGTATATTCTTATATGAAATCCTTATTTTCAGTGTCAATTGCTTTTGTCATGTGGCATGCACAAATGCAATCAGCGGTGTCATAGGCCTGGTCAGTGTCCGCCATGCAGCAGTAAGAGCTCACAGCCCTGCGAATGCAAACGTGAGCAGAAAGTCGTGAACTGTGCCGAGCCCAAATGGAAATGCAATAATGTAAGCAGGTGGTGATCTATAAATAGCTTCAATTATAAAACTTATTTCTTCTTATTTAGGTTTGTGGCGCTCTCTTTGCTTGTGGCATTCATACCTGTGAGAAAGTATGCCACGCAGGATCCTGTGAAGGCGCCGAGTGTCCGTTTGGCGTGCGCAGCTGTCCCTGTGGGAAGAGCGTAAGCACAACAGCTGCTCAACTATATATACATGTTGATATACTTTCTCCTATAATTTATGCAGATCAAAAGTGGAGCTTGCAACGAGCCACAGGAGACATGCGGAGACACTTGCCAGAAGCTGTTGTCTTGTGGCAAGCATTACTGCACGCAGCGCTGTCATCGCGGTGCTTGCAACTTGGTAAACTATTTAGTTATTCAAGCATGTAATTCAGCCCGATAATCTCTATATATTCTATTGCTATAGTGCCTAGTGGTCACGAAGAAGAAATGCCGCTGCGGCCTGCATGAGAAGGAGATGCCCTGCTCCAAGGAGTTCAACTGCGAGACCAAATGCAAGCAGATGCGAGATTGTGGCAAACATGCTTGCAATCGCAAGGTACAAAACATACGCGTAGGTTTATCCAAGCTCGACTGATGTATCCTGTTTGTTTTCAGTGCTGTGGGGATCAATGTCCGCCCTGCGAGAAGATCTGCGGCAAGCAGCTGAGTTGCAACAAACATAAATGCCAGTCCGTGTGCCACAACGGACCCTGTTATCCGTGCAAGCTGGAATCGCAAGTGAATTGTCGCTGCGGCAAGACGAGACGAAGCGTGCCCTGTGGCCGCGAGAAGAACGCACGTATTGTGTGCCAGGAGCTATGCCGGTTGGTTGCTAAGCTGTTTACTAAGAAATATAATATGATTTAAATATTGTTCTATTCCTTAGCATTACGCCCAAGTGTCATCATGCCATCAAGCATCGTTGTCACAAGGGCGAATGCCCGCCCTGCGTGCAGCCTTGTGGCCTGACCAATGATTCCAGCGGCTGTGGACACATTTGCAAGGCGCGCTGCCATGCAGCTCAGCGTGTGCCTCGACCAGATCAGGCAACACGTGGAAAGCAGCATAAGGTGAGCCCCAGACGTCTAAAGCCTTACAATTCGTATGTAATATGTAATTCTTGCAGTATGAGTACCGCGCTCTGCCACATCCGCGCTGCGAAGAAGGCGTCATCGTGCGCTGCATTGGCGGCCACGAGTTGGCCACTTGGCCTTGCTGGAACTCCAAGCCCACATCCTGCCAGCGTAAGTGCGCACGCCAGCTCAAGTGTGGCAATCATCAATGCGATCGGGTTTGCCATGCAGTGCCTGAGCCGGAGGATATGCACCAGCAAGCAGGCTGTGCGAATTGTGAACAGGGATGTACTATTCCTCGTCCTCCAGGCTGCACTCATCCCTGCAACAAAGGCTGTCATCCGCCACCTTGTGCTCCGTGCGCATTTGTGATAAAAAATAAATGCTACTGTGGCCTCAATCAGGTCATATACAAGTGCAGCGAGTACTTCAATGAGGAAGGCAGTCTGCAGGAGACGCTGGAGCGACGCCAAAGGTTCAACAGCTGTGGTAATCGTTGCCTCAAGAATGTGCGTATAAATTTTGAGAATATTTTATGTTTATATATAACTGTTAAATCTTGTTCACATAGTTCGACTGTGGCCACCGCTGCATGACCATATGTCATCCCGGCCCCTGTCCCAATCCGGAGCTGTGTCGCAAGAAGCTACGCATCTATTGCAAGTGCAAGCGCTTAAAGCAAGAAATTGCCTGCGACAAACATCGTGCGGGTCAAACGTCGCTCGATTGCGATGCCATTTGTCTGGCGGAGCGCTCCAAGGCCCAGGCCTCAGAGCAACAACAGCAGCAGCTCAAATTGCAGCAAGAGCAGGAGCGGAATAGACTGGAACTCGAGAAGTATGAACAAAAGTTCGGCAAGCGCAAGCATAAGGAGCGTAAGACTTTGGATGTGGAGCCCACCAAGTCTAACATCAACTGGCAACGCTTAAGCATCTATGCATTATCCTTTCTGGTCGTAATTGGCGCACTGGCCGTGGCGTACTATGCAGACAGCTAGAATCAACTAAAGATGAACTGAAAAAAAAAAATGCCAATGAGATTTGAATTTTATTAGTAAAAACTTTGTCAACAACTGTAAGTCCGTGTCTATTGAGTATTTGCTTGATTACAATTATCTTTAAATAATTAGTTGAGCCACTTTTAAGCCGTCTTCGTCTTCGTCTTATAAACGCAGGCGGCGACAAACACGCTGAGACTAAGGAAAGTGGATATCAGGAAATTAGATAGCAGCATCAAATCATGAGACTGCACGTAAACTGTGTATATGCGGGCTGCAAATAATGTTGAAAAGGGATTAGTTTCAGCAGAGCGCTTTATATACGTATTCATATACTAACTCATATTGGTGAAGGCGGACAGCGCCCATGTCGTCCGGCTAACGGAGCTGGCGTCCTTTGTACGCAATATAGCGAGTAGTTGGAGCACTTTGCTCGTTGCTCCAATGGGCGTACAGAAAGGCTACAGAAGATTAAGCAAAGCATTAGAAATTAACATTGAGGAAATGAAATTGAGATCATATAGATTGAGTGACTATATGAGAAATTAATTGACAGATGTAAACTGTATTCAGAGAATTAAGCTCTGCTCATCCTAAAGTGTCTTAATTTGACTGTAAAACCTGCCCAGGTCAATAACCGAAAATTTAGATCACTGAAAAGATTACGGAATCAAGTTTTCAAGGTTTTTATAAGTTGATTATAAAGGCTATATTGTAATATATACTTTGTTTATATTTTTAATTGTTTCTACAACTTATTACTATAATCAGCTCAGCAAAAAATAGACAGCAACAGCATTTTTTCGCTATAGGCAGCATATACTGTACGTTTGAGACACATCTCGCAGTGCAAATAGCTCTTAAAAAAATTGGTCTGTGACCGTTTATGTCTGTATATAAATAGAAGCAAGACAAATATTATAGAGCAAAACACAAATGACCTTCGCCAATGATTCAGTTAAGAGCTTCTCATTATGCTCAGCTCCAAAGGCAATCAAAACAAATAAAAACAAAACAGGTTCTCTAAAACAATTATTCAACAACACATAATTAGTTAAACAAATTGAAAAACAAAAAGGGAAAACTAGTTTGTGGAGTACGCTGTTATCTTAACGGAAGGTTCTAATCAATATCGTTGCTGCTCTATGCACACATATGTATTAGCTATATATATGAGCCATTGTTGGTTGGGTTACTCACCACCAGAAACGTTAGGATGATAATTGGAAAGAGTTTCAAATAGATAAGTGTTGCGATGATTGTATAGAATATGGCAAAGACTTGTGTTCGTTTGCCTAGCATATCCTGATATTTGAAGACATAATAGATCAGCACATATTCCTGCAGCAGCAGCACAGGATACTCCATATAGGATAAGAAGTCATAGCCTGACGTGTAATTGTAGGACATCATAACGGTATAGCTGAACAGTTCCAGGCACAGGCCAAAGACACTGATGCCTGGAATCGGGTTATACGGGAATATACAGTTAATGTGTGGGCGTAACAGTTGAGTGGGCGTAGTCTCACCTTTTGACGATTTGTTTTCGCGTATCGTATTTATTTGTGGCACCTTGATGACCAGACATGATGACACCGTAATCAAACTAAGAAGATCAGCTATAATAAGCACGATTCCCTTATCCAGGTAATGGGAGACAACCTCGCCAAGACCCTCAGACGGCGCCGTTGTGTCCATTGCGGCAACTAAACTTATATTGATGGCTCAGTTGGTTTGATTTAAATACAAACAATCGATTGCGGGCGGCTGTGCCTTTCAATGTGCATCTGCAGGCGTATTTCCTCTTTAAAGATATCTTCAACTCATTGTAATGCATAGACCTCTACTTGACTGCTGTTCTTACAACGTATGATCAAATCTGATTTTCATAGTGAATTTTTTATTATAAACGAAATCAAAATAGTAAGTAAATAAATTATTATCGAATAGCACTACTAAATGGTATCGATTCGTTATACTACTGCTATATATCGATACTTGACGCTGCGCGCAGCGTATCGATGCTTTGTCTCGATACTTTGGTGCTGCTAACATTAGTGATGTAAATTTGGGTCGAAAATTCGATGTCGATGTTCATCGATGTTTGCAAAATGATAAATCGATGTTGTGTAAAACATCGGCTATAAACATCGATGTATCGATGTTTTCTACCAATTCCGTTATTTTTCGTTAATTCAATTCTTAAACAACATTTCTTCAACATTTTGTTCTATTTTATGAATGGACCGCAGGTGGTCCTTCATGTTGGTCGTGTTACCCGCAATCTTCAAAACTTTGTTGCAAATGTTGCATTTCGCGCTATTTCCATCAATTTTGTAAAGTGCCTCCAGCAAAAGCTTGTCTTTGTTGTTATTCTAGAATAAATACATTTGTAATTGCAAATAACTATATTTATATATATTTTCAACAATTTACTTACTTTGGCATTGCAAACACAGGGTAAAAAAAAGAAACAAATTCGCGAATTTTTCTATGTGGCAGTGTATCCATATGTTCTGCAATGTTGTGAAATTTAACGCCCGATGTTCTGTCAAACATCGATGCATCGCTTAACATCGGTATCAATAAAAACATCGGAAAACATCGGAAAACATCGCCAAAAAAACATCGATTGTCGATGCATCGATGTTTTTTCACATCACTAGCTAACATACAGTGGCAGCGCAGCTCAAGTCATTTAGTTATTTTTCTGTCTGAATTTAAGAATTTTTGTTTTTGTTTGTCAGAATAATACTAATACGGTTAACCATAATAGTAATACTGTATGCTAATGATAGCACAGTAGAAAAAACGGCAGAAAAACGTACGTGGTAAATTAAATTAAACGTGTGTGCTCGGTGGCAAATGCTTCTTGTGGATGGGCAAGTGTGTGTGTGTGCGTGAACTAAACGCAAAAAGTGTAAAACGGATGAAATAGTTAAACAATTAAGCTCAACTGCAATTGGAAACCTCATGTGTGCATCATCTATATGAATTGTATTGTTCAAAGTGCAGAATAGCGCTATCTAGGGGTAAAGTAAACTCCTTTTCCTTATGCATGTCGTGACATTTGTTCTGTATGTGTGCGTACTTGAGCGTGTGGCTGTGTGTGTATGCATATACGACATCCGACGTAGTCGCTTTCGTATGGTTCACTGTATGTGTGTGTGTACAACAATGTTCACATTTTTTTCTTTTGTTGCCTGCTCCACGAATTATGGGGCTGGCTCTCGCTTGGTGCAGGTGCAGAAAAGTGGGGTTAGGGCCAGTACAATTTAGTTAGTAAGTTTACTAACTTTTAAGAATTTTCATTTCTATATCTATTTCCCCCCATGCCCATGGTCATTTGCTGTGTGACGTAGATAAATGAACAGAAAGGAAGAAAAAGAAAAAAATGAAGACGACATTAATGGATGGACAAGGTTCGGGGCATTCATTCTCGCTTTAGTCCTGTGGTCGCAGCACAGGTAACACGAATGCCGTGTGAAAGCGTACACAAAATGAAGCAAAACGTAAACGAAGACCCTTTAAACCTTCAGAGGAGGTCGCTCAATAGTAACATTTCTGAGAAGGGGAGGTTTCCCGACATTCTCTTGCACATCTGATCTCTTTTACGAGTGATGCAACTCAGGATCTACACACACTCACGTGTTTGCGTGTGTTCGTCTGTATGGGTGCCTATGTGTGTGTGCGCAAGGAGAAAATTCCTATGCGATCGCTCTTTGTTGTTTGACTGCTGCAAATGCACTGATCCCTTTTTGCTGTCTGTACGCGTGTGCGTGCCTAAGTGTGAGTGTATGCGTTATATTGATGCTGTGCGCGTACGAGCGAGAGAGGGAGACGCCTGAGCATGACAGTCGATGCTGATGACTTTGATGTGCGAGAGAGGGAGCGAGAGAGAAGAGAGTAGCGCAAACAGATAGCGGCTTAAATTGCAAGGTGTACGCTATCGTTGTGTAGTTGCTGTCGTTGCTGTTGTTGTTGGTGTGTATCTTTATTGCTTCTTCTTCTTCCGTCCGTTACTTTTGCTCTTGTCATCGCATGCCTTTACCTTTTCTGCCTGGGCTACTGATCTCTATGTGTATGTGTATGTGTGTGTGTTTGTGTATGGGAATGTGTTTGTATGTTTGTTGTAATACCCGTTTCATCTTCTTTGCCCATTCTACTTCGCGCCGTTTTAGCTTCTTCCGCCGATGCACTTTTGTGATTTCCTTTGCCAGTTTTTTGATTGCTAAGAAATACGACAACGGCTGCTGCGACGGCTGTTGTGTTGTTGTTGTTGTTGTTGTTGCTGCTGCTGCAGCTTTACAAACATTTTTCCCACTGCTTTTCCTTTTCTTTCGATTTTTGATTTTTCTTTTTTTTTTTTCCAATTCTCAGAGTCTCATCATCATCATGCGAATGTGATAGAGAGACAGAGAGTGAGAGCGAGAGAGAGGGACAAAAGACAGACAGATAGACAGAAAAGTGTCTGCACACGATCTCCTCTCATCGTGCTTATTACTTTTGCCGCTTGCCTCTTTCGTCGTGTTTGCTTCGCGTTGCGTGGGAATTTTTTACAGAGCGTCGCTGTCGTAGCTCCAAGACGGCTGCTTCATCCTTCTAGCGGGTTTTATATTTTTTGGCTGAGTAAAAAATAAAGGATAGCTTCATAATTAATTCTTGTAAGTTGACGATTCATTATTTATGTGCGCCTAGAGGATTCTCTTATAGAATTATTTGCATATTTTTATTGAACCCGGTTTTAGAACAGCTTCTGTTCGTGAATTGGCCACAGAGAAGCACATTGCATATCTTGAAAGGGTTAAAAAGATAATAAGCGCTTGAGTACATATTTATTTTCATTTACGCTAAGGCATATGTTTTCCTATTACATATTGAACAAGTTTCTGACATTTTTTTTACCTCTAAACTATTCTACACAAAACAATTTGCCAAAAGTTAATAAAAAAAATTTCTCCCTCATTATTGTAATCTAGAGACTTGAAATTTAGAATATATGTTGATTGGTAGCGTCGTCTAATAGGTGCTAAGCAAATGTAAAGATATTCTAATAAATACAACATAAACTATGTTATTTGGGTTGTTAGATACTTGGTATTTAGAAATTTGTAGGTCAAGAAAAATATATATGAGATATATTGATTACCATCAGGTATCTTTCAAAATGCTTGAGCTAGAGCTCCAAAAGTGAGTTACTTTTAAGACCTTTTTAAATCAAAACATTTCAGTTGAGCAACATTTGTATTTGTACATTATTTTGACCTGAAATAGAAATTATTTAACTGATGCTCAACCATTTTGTTTTATTTTCGATAGCCTTTTGCAGGCGAGCAAAGCTGCAGAGCACGAAGAGAGATTGACTTTACCTGCACGTTGTATTATGGAAAAAGGATGTTCAGCTGCTAGCAGTAATTGTTCAGGTGCCGAGGACGACGCTCAGCAGGAGCAGAGCCGCCGAAGCAGTAGCAGCAGCAGTTGCAATAGCAGCTACAGCATCGATTTAAAACCACCAACACCTCAAGCATCACAGCCAAAGGCGAGCACTAGCCAAGGGGTAGACGGAACAGTAACTGAATCTATGTCCAACCTGAGGGAGCCGGACGTGGAGGACTGTGTCTCTTCGAATTCGCAACATGGCTTTGCCGTCGTGCTCGATGATGAGTCCAGTACCGAGACCACCGGCGTGCTGGAAACATACGAGATAAGCTCTTCCAATTCACTGCCCAATAGCACGGGAGCCGGTGCCGGCGCTGAGACAATGGGCGTCGTTGTTGTTGTGCCCGTAGACGATAGCTCCTCGACAGATACGCTCAATGGCAATGAGAACGAGCGCATGAGCCGTGACGCTCCATCCGAGGAGGAAGAGGAGGAGGAGCACAACAGCCCGATAAATAATGTTTTCTTTAATGTTAACGACGAGCCGCCCATTGTATGCCTTATAAACGATGACGACGATTTCGACGAGGAGGAAATCGTCGATGAGGATGAAGATGATGATGAGGATGAGGATGCTGCGGGGCGCTCCTGCCCCAATACATCACAAGTGGATGGTACTGCTGCTGCCACTGCTGCTGATGGCATCATCACGACAGCCGACGGTTCGAAAATATTTCTGGAAACACCTGTCGTCGAGGAGCCACAGCAATCACATACTCATGTCGGCGGTGCCACAGTTGGCGGCAGTGCTGCGCAGTCGGAGCTGCTGGCGGGCAAACCGAAGCGGCTTAGCGATGAATTCGAGGCGGAAGAGCAGCAGCAACAGCTGCAGGGCAATGCACCAAGAGGAGGAGTTAAGTCTGAGCCAGGGCAGGGGCAGGGACAGGCAGTCGATGTAGCAACTAGTTCGTTGCACGATCGTCAAATGTCCGTGCGGCTTAAGCAGATGAGCCTCACGGCCAGCGCCGAGGCGTCAGCTGCCAATGCAGCAGCAGCAACAAACAGCACCAACAACAGCAACAGCCCGACCAAGGCGGATATTGAGTCCATGGATCGCATTGAACGTCGCGACTTTGAGACCGAGCAGCGTCTGACCGGCGGCATCATACTCGGCACCAATTCGCTGGTCACCAAAAATCGCCTCAATCTAAGTCTGATCAATCGCGCAGCAGCAGCAGTGGGCGCTGGCGGCGGGGCTGGAGTGGCTGGCGATGATTGGCCCAGCAGTAGCCAGGCACGCGCCTTCTCCTCAGATAGCAAGGTAAGGATCAATAATTTTGTTACAGAAGTTACAGTTATTAAAGCTGCCTTTCTTACCCTCTCCGTAGTGCACCTACAAGGATCTATCGACGACGCCCACGAGCAGTCGCAAGTATACAAACAGCCGACTGAGCAAGTCCACTGCCAAACTCAATCTGGGCTCAACGCTGGCCAATGCCAACAGCAATGCCTGTCCACAGCACAGTTCCAGCTCCATCTCCAGCTGCAGCTCCAGCAGCAGCAACAGCACCAACAGCAACAATTCCAAGCTGCCCATTGTGGTCATTGTGAAGCCCAACGGGAGCAGCAACGCTTCCACTTCCACAAGCTACAACCGCACAGACGTCTACACGAACACCAATTCGAACGACGTCAATCTGTCCGCGAGCTGCCAGCATACGGACAAAGATGTGGCCATCCCTTCGTTCAGCTCTGTGGGCTCCCAGACAAGCAGCCAGGATACCAGCGGCTGCAGTCGTACCAGCGTCTTGCCTTGTGGCAGCAGCAATGCCGGCTTTCTGGACGTGGATGCACAGCCCTCGACGTCAGCCACTTCGACTGCGACTTCGACTTCAGCTCGCTGTCATTATGCAGCGGCAGCCACAGCGAAGGTGCCCACAAGGCAGGTGAATGCCAGTGCCCAGACCCAGGAGCGTTTTCTTGCACGCAGTGGCCTGGCAGCTGGTGCAGCTGCGAATGTCAACGGCAATCGCAGTCGCCGTCGTGTGGAGGCACGCAACTCCAATGATGGCATTGTGCTTGACATTGTTGTTGAGGAGAATTCAGGCAATGCTGATGGTGGCGCTGGTGTAGGTGGCGGAAGCGGCGGAGTTGTTGAACCTGGAGATTTTAATGCCGAAGAGCCATGGGGCAATTGCGACGAGGAGAACAATTGTTCGGACCTGGAAGAGATATGCACTTGCCAGAACAGCATATTGGCCAGCAGTCGCAGCGGCAGCAATGCCAGCCTGAGCGAAACACTCGACATGGATGCCATGGATAGCTATCATGAGGAAGCCATTGCCATGCCGCCAATAGAGCAGCAGCAGCAACAGCAGCAGCGCAAGCGTAAATACAACGAGAGTCGTCTGCTGGATGGTGACTACTCGATGAGCATAACGGGCAGTGGCGGCGCTGGTAGTGGTGCGGGCGCCGGTGGCGGTGCGGGCGGTGGTGGGAGCAATTCGGGATCTGGCGATAACAGCCGTAAGCGCATTGCTTATGATTTTGCCTCTACACCACGCTCCTCAACGCAGCCCCTAGGCAACGCTGCCATGATGACGCTAACGATGACGCCAACCGGCATTTCCGCCACGTCACTCGGCGGTTGCTCACCCGCTTTGGGTAGGCGTACGCCGCGGGCTCTGATGCCCACGCGCGATAACCCGCCACCCGAGCTGCAGCACTGGTTGGCACAATTTCAGCGCTGGTCCCATGCCGAACGTCTGCTGGCCTTGGATCGTCTGATCGACCACTGCGATCCCTCACAGGTGCGGCACATGATGAAGGTGATCGAGCCACAATTCCAGCGTGACTTCATCTCGTTGCTGCCACGGGAACTGGCGCTGTTTGTGCTCTCATATCTGGAGCCGAAGGATTTGTTGCGCGCCGCACAAACTTGCCGCAGTTGGCGTTTCCTCTGCGACGACAATCTGCTGTGGAAGGAGAAGTGCCGGAAGGCACAGATCCTCACCGAGACACGCAGCGATCGTCCCAAACGAGGACGAGATGGCAACATGCCACCAATCGCATCGCCATGGAAGGCGGCGTACATGCGACAGCACATCATCGAGATGAATTGGCGCTCGCGGCCAGTGCGCAAGCCGAAAGTGCTCAAGGGTCATGACGATCATGTGATCACATGCCTTCAGTTCTCCGGCAATCGCATTGTATCCGGCTCCGATGACAATACGCTTAAGGTCTGGTCGGCAGTCAGCGGCAAGGTAAGACAGCAGTCAAGATAGAAACTTAGTCGGGTCATTGTCTAATCTCAACTGGACTTCTTTCCTTCTCTAGTGTCTGCGCACCTTGGTGGGGCATACTGGCGGCGTTTGGTCCTCGCAAATGTCTGGCAATATCATCATATCGGGCAGCACGGATCGCACGCTCAAGGTGTGGGACATGGAGAGCGGCAGCTGTGTGCACACGCTCCAGGGACACACCTCAACGGTGCGCTGCATGCATTTGCATGGCAATAAGTAAGTGATTCTGGCAGAGCTGGTTGTGCGGCACCAGACTTACCTCATCATCTCCATCTTCATCTAGGGTGGTCAGCGGCTCACGAGATGCAACGCTGCGTGTGTGGGACATTGAGTTGGGCACGTGTCTGCATGTGCTGGTTGGCCACTTGGCTGCGGTACGGTGTGTGCAATATGATGGCAAGCTGATTGTGTCGGGCGCCTACGACTATATGGTCAAGATCTGGCACCCAGAGCGACAGGAGTGCCTGCACACGCTGCAGGGTCACACCAATCGTGTCTACTCCTTGCAGGTAGAGTCAACTAATCATCCAGTTCCTCTGCAGCCTAACCAATTCGAATTCCTATTTTGTGTAGTTTGATGGTCTTCATGTCGTCTCTGGGTCACTGGATACCTCGATACGTGTATGGGACGTGGAGACTGGCAATTGCAAGCACACTCTAATGGGCCATCAGAGTCTCACCTCCGGCATGGAGCTGCGACAAAATATACTCGTCTCTGGCAATGCCGATTCCACGGTCAAGGTGTGGGACATTACAACAGGACAATGCCTGCAAACGCTATCGGGTAATTTGATTACACTTGATTAACTGATCGATGATCTTGGGCATTCATTAACTGTTATTTTTTGTTTGCTTTAGGCCCCAATAAGCATCAGTCAGCGGTCACTTGCCTGCAGTTCAATTCACGCTTTGTGGTCACCAGCTCCGATGATGGCACCGTCAAGCTGTGGGATGTCAAAACGGGCGATTTTATACGCAATTTGGTTGCTTTGGATTCGGGCGGCTCCGGTGGAGTGGTCTGGCGCATCAGGTAGCTAATTAATGTTTGTTCACGAGTCTGTCCGACTGTGCATATGAATTGTAAATGGAGGGAGAGGAATATATAGCCCGGGGTGCTTTTCATAAAGATTGATAGAGATATAAAATCCTGTTTGACTGCCAGATGTACATTGACAAACATGCATAACCCAAGCATAACTATTCGTTTCTAAATAATGGTATGTGGCATTTATTTCTATTTCAACCTTCTATTCACAGGGCGAACGATACAAAGTTGATTTGTGCCGTGGGTTCACGCAATGGTACGGAGGAGACAAAGCTAATGGTACTGGACTTTGATGTGGAGGGCGCTTGTGTCAAGTGTTCATAGGAACAGTTCCAGTTCCAGTTCCAGCTCGAGTTCAGTTCAGTTCAATTTGCAAACTGTGTGTGCAAAATAAGGCGCACTCTACTCTATGTTATGATAAACGCGAGAGCCGCTATAATGCTTTAGCTCGTTATGGGAGCGAGCCAGCCGGAGGCGATATCACACACACACATACACACACCCAAACTCAACTAACACAGACACACACCACCAACACACACTTATACAGATGACTCGTCTATCTGTCATGCATAATCGAAACGTTATCGTCGCTTGCCTTGCCAACAAATGCAGCTGCTCACACACACATATATATATATATATACATATACACATGCCTACACACGTTCACATACAAAACACACACACACACATTTGGGAGTTGTGAGTACGAGTGTAAAGACGTTTTCAATGTTATCATTTGTTTCAAATGCGTTGCTTTTATATAGCCAAAATTTGTTTTCCACAAAAATAGAATAATTTTTGCTTCTTAGTTCTTATTGATTATGAATTACGTACATAAAAACAAAAACAAAAAAACGATCATATATATATATATAAATATATTATATATCTCATAGCAAGTCGAATGTTTACAAACATACTACTATATACGTATTATGCATATACCTACATACATCATTTTGTTCCGTATCGAATGAACCGAAAAGAAAAGTTTTATGAAAAAACAGCTTTATATTAATTAAAATTGTAAATTGTTTAATTGATTGATTAATTATGATGTCTATAGTGTTAATAATGCCGTTAAATTATTTTGGAGACCCAATATTGAGTTGTTTCTGTTTCTCTCTCTCTCTCTCTATATATATATATATATATAAACATTTTGTGGTTTCGTTCGATCTGTTTTGTTTACACACACCAATACGTATGTATTTGATTTTTAATGTATTTTTGTTAAAAGGCTTCCCGTGTGTAGTAGTTCCGTTTAAATGTAAATTGTATGTTAGTATATGCTAAATTTAACGAAAATATTGAAAATTTTCAAATTTTTTGTTGCCTGCTTAAGAGATGGGCTAGACTCGTATATAGAAATTTAAGTATTTCGTGGTACTCAATTCGTATGAGGGGAATGAGAAGGAGAAGGAGGGGGGCAGCTCTCACACACACTCACATACAGATACACATACTAACACAAACACACTCACACACACATATATATACAAAAGCATTAAGCGAACATATATTTTAATTATAGACTGATTTATTAGTAATTGAAATTAATCTACAAATTTAAGCATAAATCTGAATAAACGCAGGAATAATTAAACCAAGAGTTAAATAAAAACAAAAACAAACAACATAAATGCATGCGCATGTGATTTTATTTTTGTTTTCTATCCAAAGTTTTTGATTTCCAATTGCTACGATAACGGCCAACAATACGATCATTCGACATGCGGTATACGATATATTTATACCGTTATTTGGGTTCGGGGTGAATGGGGTATTAGCTCTGTATATGCCGATTAATCTAAACAATAATTTACGATACAATTTATGGCAAAAATAATCGCAACAATAAATGCAGAAATTCTTAAAATTGTTTATTGTTTTATAAACTTTTCATTCAGTTTATCGGAGCTACTATAACCAACTGTAAATGAGGCCTGACGTTCGTATTCGTCTGAATCGGTCCCCAAATAAAGTTAATAAGTCTATAATTGACTTCTTTAATTGTGTTCGTAAACTTAAAACAAATCACTTCACTGATGATTCAACTTATAAATCGAGACTGAGTATAATACATAATTAACTGGAAAGCAAAACATCTGATATAATGTTCTGATAATACGGGTATGTAAGAGTATATCGTTCACATCTTGGACTTCTTGCTGCTGTGCCCTTCGATGCCCAGATTGCAGCGCGAGGCCACATCCTGCACGGATGTCAGGCCAGTGGTGCTCGTCGGCAATGGGCCACCAAATGCCGAGGACGACAAATTGCCGTTGCTGGGCCGTTTACGCGTAGGCGAATGGACGGGTGACTTCTGCTTGAGGCACTCGACGTCATCGAACACGACTTGAGCACCGCCGCCACAAGTAGGTATTACGTTGCCCTTGTACAGTTTCGTCTCCACATCGCCATCGGTGTCAGCCTCCTGGGAGACAAGGCAATATTTGTTGGCTCCATGGCCGGTTAGCTCCTTCATGTCGGTTAGCTTCGTAACCGATTTACGATTCTTCAGATACGGCTGCATAATCGTGCCAAGTGGCACAGGATTGGCAGCACGATGCTCCAGCCATTTATCGCCGGCGGAACGGGATCTGCGGTGCCTGTTGTTGGCAGCTGCCAAGCCCTACAAAACGGATTAAAAAATCAGTTAAAATTCTGAATAATTGTTATCCCTCACTATACGCTTACATGTCTCGGAGTACAGTAGAGGTCCGTGCGAGTCGTAGGTGCTGCTGTGGACTCTGTGCGCGTGGTGAAGCCACCGCGATCCTTGTCGTTCAGCAGATTCTCTGAGCTGTGGGAACGCGGCAAGCTGGGCACATCCTCAGACTGTAGTATATTGGACACCAGGCGCAACTTCTCGTCCTTGATGCGCATGCGCTCTTGCATCTTGGCGCGTTGTTCACGCAGCTTCATATCGAATTCGCGTTTATTCTTATCCGATTCTACGGCCAGCTTGGAATTGTACTTCTTTTTCTGCTTCTCTTTCTCCTGCTCCTTCTGCGTGAGCAGTTGCTCCTGTTCGCTGAGCTTCTGGCTGAGTTCCTGGATCTGCCGGTCCCGTTTGCTCAGCGTATTGTTCAGCACATCAATGGAGCTCTCGTGTATGCGCACCTTGTTCTCCAGGGCGGCGCTCCGTTCGCGTTCCTGCTTGTAGACGGCCTTCATGGAGGCCAGCTCCGTCCGCAGCTGCAAATTGTCGCGATCCAGATTCATGAGCATCTGACGGAAATTGTCACCTAACGGGGAAATGGGAATTTATGAAGAATGCATGATACGAGAGAAGGGAAAATCTCAATCCTACACTTAACATCCATGTTGGCGCGCAGTTTGCGTCGCTTATCGATCCGCTGCTCCAGATACTCCATTAGCTCCTGTATCTTGCACGCGGCCTCCGGACTATCCATTTGATAGTGTGGAAAGTCGGCGCCCAAGCTGTAAACCAGACCCACATCCACCTCCAGCTGCTTGGCCTCGGGTATGCCCAGCTCGTTCAGATTGTTAACGGCAATCTTGAACAGTTTGTTGGCCTTGCGGCGACCGGGCGTAAGACCCAGGTCTGGCTTCATGGGCGTGGCGCGGGCTATTTGCACCTCTTGAGTCATCTCCGCAAACTTCATGACTTGCTGTGGATGAAGATACAGTTAAGAACAACAGATAAGAGGCAGTTACAACCCATCTACCATGTTCTCATCGTAGTCCTCGATGCGCGGATTGATGCACACGATCATGGACACCTGGCCTTCGCCATCAAAGTAGTTCTTGAACATGTGCGTGATCTTCGAGTCGCGATATGGTATCTTCTTGGGAGGCACATTCGGGGGCAGCTGTTGATTCTCGCGCAGATACTCGAGGCAAGTGCGAAGCGTCATCAACGAGTTGTTAATGTTGCCCGCTTCACGGAGACGTACGCCCGTGTTCTTGGTGCGGGAGGAGCGTTCACTGCCAGCCAAATCGACAAGCGACAGCTGGCTAACTGTGATCGTGTGCTTGTCTTGGATCACGCGCTCGCCCTGGCAATCGGTGGGCGCTTGAACAAGTCGTATATTGAATACGGAGTGACTGCGACTGGACTCTGCATTTAAGATTGTGTTGCCCATGCGCTTGCGCTTCTGGCCCATATGGAAGACATCGAGAGCATCCTCCACGGTCTTGACCTCCACTTCGGTCACGCCATGCACGAACATCTGGTGATTCGCATCTTCGCGTATGATTTTGCACTGCAAGGATCTAGATTTAAGGGTGAGGGGATAAGCTGGAAGTCTATATTTATGTTTTCTATGGTATATTACTTCTGCACGCCGGAGTCCTCGAGCAGATCGTAGACGCTATTGTTGTACATCTCCACATAGGTAATGAACACTGAGTACATGTTGTCCTCATCGAGCACGGTCAGCGGCGATGGCTCCACCGAGGCCTGTGATGCGATTTCCGGGTCTGAGTCCTTGCGTCGAAACGCAAATCGCCCGGCTCCTGCAAATCGTTGATTCATCTCCTGTTGCCGCTCGAGCAGCGCATCCTCTTCCGAAAGTATTTCAAAGCCATTCAACCGATCCGGCTTGAACACAAACTTCTTTGCCTGATAGTCAGAGATGGTGCGAAACAGCAGATCTAAGCAACGAGGCATTATACCACGATGCCGAGCGTTTCCCGTCATTGTGTAGGTCTTTCCACTGCCCGTCACACCGTAAGTGAAGAGCAAACTATTCCTGCCGCGCACCAGGTTCTCGACAAGCGGCTGAGCAACGGCCGCGAAAACCTCTTGCTGAGTGGCATCTGGCTGAAAGACATGTTTGAAGATGTACTGCAACTCGCGCTGGGCGCCGTTTTGTTGTTTCTGATGATGCTGCAGCAGTTGATCCTGGGGATTGATCGCGATTGTGGTCGAATTTTTGACACGCAGGCAGGTCAAATCGCCTTCCGACTGCAGTGGACGCACTCGGCAGAATACATTCACGGGATCCTGTTGTTTATTAGAGACGTCTCGTCGCTTTTCTGTATGCATTTGTGCCTGCATTTGACGAGGCGTCTTGGGAACACGGAGTGGCGTACGCGCCCTGCATGACAATATCGTTCACGATTAGCTCTTATGACATTTATTGCTGTCCACTACTTACATTGCTTTCATTTTGATAGGTTTTGTAATTTAAATACTGCTGCACTATTGATATATTTACTTAAATTTGTGATTCAGCAAAGACTTTCGGTTCGTTAGCTTCAAATGCTTGCGCCCATACAGACGCCACGCTTGTTCTTCCTCTTCTTTTCTGCGCTTTGCGTTCGCTGCCAACTTCACGTGTCTCAAATTTTCGTTAGGCACGCAGGGCTGTATTTTCGATATTTTATAAATGCTATAATTTAATTGAATCTGGTGAAATTTACTATTGTCATAAATTAAACCAATGCTAATTGAACTTATTATCACTGTTTAAGCTCTTAAATATACAATTCAGTTTATATAGTTCAGAAAGTCATGGTCAGTCCACTGCTGAACAATTTACCTTCAATTATGTTAATTAACAGACTACTGTTAATTAACAGCAACTACTATTGACGTTAAATTCAAACACACTTCGTTCGTCAATTTTGCAATGTATAAATGCATATATATTATAAAAGTTATAAAAAAAGAGTTATTGCATTTGTAGATCATTCGATATGTGCTTTTCACGAGAAGGACACTTATTTGCCGAATTTAAATACAGACAACAAATTACGCATCAGGGCGGGTCCATTCCAGTGTCCCGTTAACATTAGCTTCCAATACAGCAACGGCATAAAATCTTTCTTCATGATAAACATGGAATAGCGCTCCTTGTTCTGGGCCACAGGGAATGTCTCCAAAGGCGTCAGGCTATAATCGAACTCGGCCAATATTACGCTGTTGTAGCCCGTAACCAGGGGACACGAAGCATATCCATCATAGATGTCTTTAAGGGGCTTACCCTCCAAAGCTGCGATCATATTACGGAATACAACCGGTGACTGGGCAGCTAACCGATAAGGAAAATGTTTCTAATTATAATATAACGGAACCTC